TGATTATATACGCACAGATGGCGCGGAACATCGATCTGGTTCGATATATACACTCCTTCATAAGTAGGAATCTTGAAGAGTTCTGAATTTTTCTGGTGAAGAAAGGACGAGCCTAATTTATAAATATAAAAATAGGAGTCTTGCCCTTGAAATAAACGGAACTTAATACTTTGATCATCGATCTATTTGGCCTAAGACAAAAACGACCTCGTCAGTATCTTGTGCTCCTGTACAAAGTTGAAATAGTTTCTGTAAAACCCAAGTCGTCCCACATAGGATGCTTTATGTAGAAATTAAATCGAAAACGGAACAAGTAATCCTCATGTAACATAGTAACATACACAGAGACAGAGAAATAATGAATTCAGCTAATGGATCATATTTCTATACATATACATATACATATACACACATATACATATATTGTCCTGATGACCTATTCACACACACACACACACAAAAACTATGATTATGGTAAAATACACTAAAGATTCCAAACCCCCCCCCCCCAAATTTTAATTACATGCATATGTTTAAACAAATTTGTCTGTTCCTGCATTTAATACATAGGCAAATTAAACTTGCTAGTCTAATGATGTTGATTAGTGATCTATTGGAATGCTTTATATATACATACAAATTAAGATGAGCAGTGGAGGACAATATATATATAAGTTGATAGAATCTCTCAAAATTAAATATCTTGGCATTCTCACATCAATTTACGTACGTACGTACCGCACACCGCAAAACAATATTCTTAATTAATGTTGTTGTTGGATCATTATAGGAGGTTGCTGATGATCATGTTCCACAGAAGAAGAAGTTGGAGCAGGTGCAACCTTGGTGCCACTATTGATGATAGAATTAATAGCACTACCAGAGAACACGGCGGTGAAGACGAAAGCGACGGCGAAGACTGAGAAGAAAGCAATTCCAAATCGATCCCAATTAGGGACTTGTTGGTCGTCGTCGTCGTCACTCATTTTGTTCTCTTCACCTACCAATTCCACAACCAAATGAGTCACCAACATGAAGCACGAACAAGCCATTACTGAACTCAAAATGAACAGTAATGAAAGGATCGCCAATTTTCCCTTCCCATTCACAGCCATCTTATTGATTTTCTTGTTCTATACGTCCAAAAGTTTTTATATATGAAGCTGTTATCACTGAAAATGGCCAAGCTAAGTATTGTCCCTTTATTATTTGCTCTATCTTACCATCTTTTGGCAGGACAGAAAGGGGTAGAGAAGGCCAACACCAATACATATACAGATAAATCAAAACTTAACTTTTTTTTTACCGGGGTTTTTTATAATATTCTGCTTCTTTCTAAAAGGATGATCATCTGAAACAGTTTTTTAGCCATATATAAAATGAGGTTATGAACCGTATATAACTTGCTACAGATATTATATAATTAGCTAGAGGTCATGGAGCTTCTTATTTTTAATTTAATAATGACGCATGTTTTTTAGCAATTACTCAGGGACAACACTATTCCGAAGGTGGCTAATCAAATTTTGAAGAGTTAAGAATGATAAATTATTATGAAAAGAGGAATTTTCCCTTGGCTTTATGTCCTACGAATTGAAGCTGGGTTCAATTATTCGAGACAACTTGCGCGGTGAGCCTCTTCATCATAATCATAAGGAGACCTCTAAGGGCTTGTTTGGATTGACTTACAAGTAACTTTTTCAACATAATTTATGAAATAAAAAATAAATATGTGAGAAGAGTTTTGTCTCGACTTATGTGAATTTACTTAGAAGTCAGTTTCCAACAGAGCTCCAAACAAGCCCTAAGTAGATAATAACACGAAGTCTCGTCCAATATCATTTGCAGAGACCTCCACTTTATTCGAAATTCTCATACTTAGCTTCGCATAGTTTAAGCATATGTAAATGCCTTGGTGGCCCCACATGTTATAAATTTTATAGGAGTTTATATTTAATTGACCATACATGTTTTTTTTTTAAAGGAAGAAAAGGAGAAGAAAAATTTTAACGAAGTCTGTTTGAAAAATTAAAGAAGTAAGATTCAAAATTTCTAATTAATTTTGCCTGCTTTTTTTATCTTACATCTTTCTACCAAAATTTTACAATCTTCTTTTTTTAATTTTTTAAGTTAAACTCGTTGAAATTTTTTCTTTCTTTCTCTTCAATTTCCTCATACCAAACATAGGTAAGTCAATTGCATAAAACCCCGAGATTTAAAATATTAAATTTAAATTTTGAAATATTAAGAGGTCATATACGACATGTCTAAAATTTAAAGGATTTTTATAAAATTAACAACTTACATAAAATGCCATACTGTCAAGTGTTAGGGGTTAAATTTCCATTAAAAAATGAGCAACTTAATAACAAAAGTTTTATGGTAAAATCATGAAGAGTTAAGGTTAAATTTAAACTTTAAAGTATCATATAAGTTATGTGTAGAGAACCCAAAATTCAGAAGGATTTTGTATAATTTTTTTTTTTTAAAATGAAGAAATATTGAAAGAGGCCGAGCAAATTACAAATAGTCAAATACAAATTTATTTAGGAAAAAAAGAAAAGAAAAGAAAAGCTAGGAAAAGACCGTGCAAACATGAAACAAGTACAAATTTACAAAAAATGGTTTTTTTTTTAGTGAAGATAATTTTATTCATAAGATCAGATAATTACAAGAAGTCAAGATAATTACAAATTTACAAAAAATGGGTTTAAGCACACACATCCCTATCCTTTTCCAAAGGACGAGAATTTGAGGCTTTGCCTATGGAAGTTGAGGTGAAGCTCCGTCTCCCAGACTCAGCTTCTCACCAGAAACTCTCCGATCTACTCGCACCATTTCACATCAACACCTTAATTCAAGAAAACATCTTCTTCGACGGCGCGAAGGCTCAGCTCACTTCCAATCTCGCCGTCCTCCGAATCCGTTTCTACAATCTCGATACCTGCGTCCTCTCTCTCAAAGCCAAGCCCGTAATTTCCGACGGAATCAGCCGCATCGAGGAGCACGAAGAGCCATTCGACACCGCGCTCGGTCGCGCCTGCGTCGCTGAGCCATGGAGGCTCGCGAGAATCAAGTCGTCGGAGATACTGAAGAGAGTAAGGGATGAGTATGGGATCGGGGAAGAAGGTGATTTTGTGTGCTTGGTGGATTTAGGAATGTGAGAGGTGTGTATGAGTGGAATGGATTGAAATTAGAGATCGACGAGACTAATTATGATTTTGGGACGAGCTATGAGATAGAATGTGAGAGTTCTGAACCAGAAAGAGCCAAGAAGCTGCTTGAGGAATTCCTCCATGAAAATGGTATCAATTTCTCCTACTCTCAACTTTCTAAGTTCGCCGTTTTCCAGTCCAGGAAGTTGCCCGACCCAGAGAAGTAAGTCTCATCACTGGGCAAACACCAAGTAGTGCTTTCTTTTTTCCTTTTTTTTTTTTTTCTTTTCTTTTTTGGGGATAATCAGGAGTTTTTTTTTTTAATATACCTGGGGGATATTTTAGAGTGGTATTGCTGATATATATTTGTGGTTTCATGAGTCCATATATCAATACTTAATATAAAAACTAATTTAACTTTTAATTTGATGATCTCAATATATTTTGTCTCTCGTATTATTCATTTTTTTAATATAGCTCTCGTAATAGTTACACGTGTTAAATATTTTATCAGATAATACTGGATTAGTAGGAATATTTTAGAAAACTGCACCTATTTATTACAAATAACTAACTTAACTAATTTTCTTAATCTACTCAAATTAGTTAAGTAGTTCTTATATTAAATATAAGAGCTAAAAATATTTAATTTTGAGGAATTATTCGTTGATAATCCAGCATACATACGAGCTGATTTTAAATTCTTGTACAAAGTCCTCAAAAGTCTCAGTCGGAAAAAAAAGGTCCTCAAAAGTCAAAAGTAAAAAAATTGGAACAGCAAAAAAAATATATTTGGTCTTTTAGAGTTTGAGGTTTGCTATTATGATTTTGATTTTTTAAGTTTCAAACTATCACTTTTAATTCCTAAAAAAGAAAAATTGTCTAATTTTTTTAGTAAATTATAGTGATCACATTATTTTAAATGGAAAAAAAATTAAAGGATGAAGATTATAATTTAAAACTTGAAAAAAAAAATAAAAAAAAATTTAAATGACCAAAACTTATGTTAATCTAAATAAATAAAAAGAAGGGCATCAATTTTATACAGAGAGGGGCCGTTTCCCTTCTACCAGCATCATCTCACTCTTGATAGCCAGGTCGCGGGGGACTATTTATTTGAATAAATAAATAAATAAACACCCTGTGTTCTAGGTTCCATAATCAATGATTACTCAAAACTAAAAATACATACATATAAATATAAGCCATAGATTTCATATATGCTTATTTGTTTCTTATCATTATCAATATGACATAGCAAGTTCTCAGAAAAAAATGATTCGAGGACAAGAAAGATAGAGGGAAATGATCAATGAAAACCTTGAAAAAATATTTGAAAGAGGGAGAAAAACTTCGAGACCTGCAGGGAAAGAAGCTTCTAAGTAAGGACATAGTGGGAGGAGTGATCAAGATACAACAAATTTTCTTTTAATACATACATAAAACAATTTTTCTTTTTAGTTGCCCAGAGTATCTTTCTATTATTAGGCGCAGCAACGAGGAACCCTCTTACTAGTATTTTTTTTTTCCCATACACACCACTTCAAAAACCGAATCAGGATATGATATTTAAGATATCCAAGTCCTTTTCATTTGGATAACACTTGTTGGTAAAATAGAACAAATTGAATTGCAACATATCTCATAAACAAGAATTCTGGGCCTACTAACGGGGGTTGGGTCTAGAAGAGAGGTGCCCATATTTAGTGCCCAACAGTTCTTCGAATATGATTGCTTCCAATAAGAGGATACTTATACTTTAGAGAAAAAAAAAAAAGAATTCTGGGCCTCCTTTATCCAAAAAAAAAGGTTCTGGGCCTCTGGGTTGGTTTATGCATTATCGCGGCCTGGGTCAGACGCCCCGCATAACCACGCTTATAAAGCCGAATCCTCAAACCCCAGTCGCTAGGGCTTTCATTTTGGAACGAGGAGCCGTCAGTGCTGCTGCAACGCTTGGCGACACACTTAGCGATGGGTAATCTAATCCCTCCACCCTCCTTCCGAATCGTGGATTCTCACCAGTTCGTATTTCTTATTCTGTAATGTGGTTTTTTGTCTGATTCAAAAATTATATGCTCCAGCGAGGATCAAGGTTCATGAGCTCAGGCAGAAAACGAGGGCCGAATTGCAGAACCAGCTTAAGGATCTGAAAGCTGAGCTTGCTTTGCTCCGTGTCGCTAAAGTCACTGGTGGTGCTCCCAACAAGCTCTCCAAGATGTAATCCTTTCTCTCTTCCTTTCTGATTTCATTGGTTTTACAACCTTGCTCTAGTCGTAGTGTATTTCACACATGTTTAATCCTCGAATCAGACATCATATTGCATTTCAAATTACATTGAAACAATATGTATTTTGTCCTATTGTAACTAGTTCTGTGTTTCAAAGGCTTTACTTCATTGCCGTAAGGTATTTGTGTTTGAAATTCTCAATCTTGGGTTGCGGCAAGGTGGAGAGATTGCCCACTGAAATATTATGGATTTTTCGTATTCATTTTACTCTATAATTTGTGTTCGCAAAATGGGGCCTACGTAATTTAGACAGCTGCTGGCAGCTGGTTTAGTATCCCTACATGGTATCACATATCATATGAGGCTGAAACAATAACAATTTGATTGACATTGTATTTTGGATTTGTTTCGTATGTTTGATCCGCTTTAAGTTTTGGTCTTTAAGATTCTTATGTTACGATATGCAGAAAGGTAGTGAGGTTGTCCATTGCCCAAGTGTTGACGGTGATTTCTCAGACGCAGAAGGCTGCACTGAGGGAAGCCTATAAAAACAAGAAGTACATGCCTCTTGATCTGCGCCCAAAGAAGACCAGGGCTATTCGCAGACGGCTTACCAAGCACCAGGTAATAACTTTTCTTGGTGGCCTTGACTCATAATATTCGTTGTGTTATTTCTCTCTCTCTCTCTCTCTCTTTTTTTTTAATAACAGGTTTCCAGCATCATTATAGATGTATTAGTTTTATGAATATGAATATAAATGTGGTTTCTGAAGTTTTATTCATGATGAGGTCTATACACTCTTCAGGGTTCCTTGAAGTAGGGAATCACTTAGATTATAATGCATTCTTCAATCTTTAGTATTGAATTTGTTTTCTCTATAATTTAGTTTAGAACTGACATTTTCTCTGATATAATTTAACACGTCTCACCTCTTTGGATTTCATTATCATGGATTAACTTTGAATGACTTGAATACGTGCGTTAAAACTACTGGGATTTAACCGGTAATCCTGTGATTGTAAGAGTTCACTGAAGATAAAATTTAACTAATATAGCTAGTAGTGCGATTTGAAAAGCAATTTTGATAAATTATTAATTCCAATCATGAATTCATATATGCGGATATCTGATGAGATTGGATATACATTATCAATTCAATCATTCATTTATTATGTTTGGGTACACAACTTTCACCAAAGAAACTTAATGCCTATCATACCAGTGTAGCATATTTGATTAGTGGTTGTTTTCTGCGTTTGGTTTGATCTCACACACATTGTCGTTGCACTGATGTTATTTTCATTCTGACTTTTGCAGGCTTCACTGAAGACTGAGCGACAGCAGAAGAAGGAGAAGTACTTTCCTTTGAGGAAATATGCCATTAAGGTGTAAGGACTCTTGGGGAGAAGTCTTGGTATTTTTCAAGTTTTGATACATCTCAACTTTTAGCTTCGGCTTTGTGGTATTATTAATTTTTTGTGGTGTTAATTTTGGCTTATTCAGACAGTTTTTTCAGTTACCGAGTTTCAGCTGAGTGGTAGTCCTCAAAGTGGATTTAAGGGTCCTCTTTCGCTCTCTTTTCTTTTAAAACTAGGAACAAAAAGGCAAAGCTATATGGACAGTTTTCTGAACTCGTGTTTCTTGTAGCTGCTTGGAAATTATTGACTCGAAACAATTGATTGAAGCGATGTTAAAGTCAAACCGATGCCAAGATTAGAGGGGTTCGGTATTGTGTAGATTGAAATGTGTTAAGAATCGTGCTTAAATGTGGCGTTAAATAATTTCCATTTTTCATTTTGCCGTATGCGCAAATTTCAAGTTTTGACAACTTCGGCTTTTTGGCTAAAATGTTACAGACGGTTAAAATGTCTATCAAAATATTGCAGTTTTAAAAGTATTTATTAATTTGTTGCACTTAAAATTGTTTTTCAGGTGAATAATTTTTAAAATTGTTTTATTGATAAATGATTTTTTTAGAATCAGTTATTGATGTGCATGAAATGATTGAAAATTGTTTTTTTGGGTAAACAATTTCAAAAGTTATTTTTTTGGTAAACGACTTGAAAACTTTATTTCTGACCTTCTCTTCTAATAAATGAGAATAAAATGATTAGTATAATGATTTATCAATTATTTGAATGGTAAAATAATAACTAAATAATGAGAGAAAAATGTTAATAATTATATAATGATATTAAAACTAATTGTAAAATGAGTATAAGATGTATATTAATTAAAAATAAAAAGAAATAAATATTCTATTGTAGAAAATAATAAATAAAAATTAAGTTTATAAGGAAAAAATTATTCACCTTAATGATAGTAACTTCCAGTACCACATATTGTTGTCCTTCTCATACATTGTGGCCATTATTGTTGTATGTCAATTTCTTGAGATTCAAGTGTTTCATTTGTTTGTATAGTTGACGTATTCAAATCAAACCAAGGTGATTCATTTAAATGCATAGATTGTCGAGGAATAACAAATGCTTCATTTAATAGTCCACCATGTTTAAAAGTAAAAACATTGTATTTAGCTGAAAATAGTACAGGATTATCTAATAAAGTCATGAACTCTTGAAATCGAGAGGGATTGGCTGAGTTGGATAGGGATGATGATGATGGTGCCATGTAATAAGACTCAAGCTATGTAGGATCGACAGAGGTGAAGGAGGATGATGGTGACAGTGATATGTTACAAGCCTAAATAAAAATTAGAGGTTCTTGTTCTCTTGCATTTTTGTTTTTAATTATAGTTTGGGTAGACAAGCAACTGATGCGTCGCTTGCTCGGTCTATCATAAGGAATTTGTGGCCAAGGCAACTCAATTGTTGATGGAGCAGTTTGAGAGTTCATACTAAAACGTTGTTCTCTAGTGTAAGTAGAATGTTACGTTGGTCGCGAGCAACCCTGCCTCAATAATCAATACAACTAGTGCATATTGAACAAGAATTAATTGATAACCTGTATAACTCCTCTGCTATATCAGACTGAAATAAATAATAAGATATAAGGTAATAACACTTTTTGTGTAAAAAAAAAAGATATTAATGGTGGAAAAATAAAAAACTTACTACATGACCTGTATTACTATTGATACGTTGAATCCATTGTCTTGTATGTCTCCAATACCGTTGCATGTACTAAGATATTCGATCAAGTTCATCAAATGTTATAGGAGAATTAACAATTGCATGCGGCCATCCATCCAATGCTTGAATGAAGTCTGAGTATTTGTTAATCTAATTTGTAGTTGTTCTTCCTCGTAATTGGATCGTGTGATAATTTCCCAAATGAATAGGCATGGAAGGAATTGGTCGCTGACAACCAAATTCCCATAGTACACAGTTAGGATGATGCCATTCTATAATATTAAAACATATCAAAAGAACTAAAGCATGCCAAATTTTGGGTGTTGCCAAGCAATACTTAGGAATCAATTGGCGCACATCAGGAGATTCATATGGCTGCCACATTATCTCATCATCAGTCATTTTATCTAGAAAGCTCCTATATTGGAGTAAAGACACAACAAATGGACAGGGGTTTTGTCTCACATTTTTTCATCTGTTATTACAAAAAAGTAATATTAAAAATTATATAATTTTAATAATATAAGAGCATAACAAATAGTTGGTGAATAAATTTAGCATGACTAAAACCCAAAGGAGGTAAGAGAGGGTAGATACCAGATTGTGGATCTGGATACACTGGTTGTCGTGGTGCTAACATAGGAAAACAATCTCATGCCCATAAATGAAGTAATGATAAGCATCCTCCAACCCCATCCTCAGTTGGGTTAGTAGCATTACATAATTCTCTATACATGTGAGCTAAAACTGCCAATCCCCAACTAAATTTTCTAGCTTCCTGAAGATCATAAAGTAGTGAAAGATACATTAGATACACCCTGCTACTTGATTTATCTGACATGAGATATCTACCAATCAACCTGAGGATATATGCGTGAGTGAATTGTTAAACTTGTACATCATCCGCATTATCAGATAGGTGATTAAAGTTCTTTTCCAATCAACTTATAAGTAGTCGTTGCCCATCTATTCTATCTACAAGTGGTTTAATACCTAGAAGACATTTACACACGTCTAGCCAATTAAAGTCAGTTCGGCGAATAACTGTCATTCTTTCACATGGAAGGCCCAATTGTTTAGCTACATCCTCTAATATTATGGTGTATTCTCCATGAGTAGTGTGAAATGTATGAGTCTCAGGACGCCACCTCTCAATAAGTGCTGAGATCAAACCCCGATCATAATCAAAGTGCCCTACTCAAGCAACATCATAAAATCTAGCTAATATAAGATATTTAATTATTTGATTAGGTGGATTAATCATTTGATTAGGGTGTATGATTCGTCTAGTGTGTAGGACGCTGTTAATCTACAGTGGAAAAGGAAAGAAAAATATTATTATGAAAACATAAATGAAATAATTCATAAGAAATAGATTTTACTTACATTATCATTCCACACATATTCGGAAATATGTTGGGTTTGCAAGTACAAAAGAGAGTTATCTTCTGGGCCAGGATTTATTACCTCTTCTGAGGTTGTGCCATTTTAAAATGTCTCTACATAAGGCAAAGGACAAATTCCAAATAATGTAGAGGAAATCAAACTAATTATAATATAATCTTCATAAAACATAATATTTTTATTATAAAACGTGAAATACATAATTTATTGTTGAGATGCTACACTTTGTAGACAAGTAGAGCGGTTATGAGCAACTTATTGACATAATCCGCACTTGTTAGGTTCATTAGGTGTGGTCCAATCCATCTCGTGCGCAAGCAGCAATGACATGCATACATGGAAATTTTTCTACTTGAAACTCTCCACAATCACATTTTTTGTCAATCAAGTTCACCTTGTAACATTGATGAAATTGATGACATCAAACATTATATGACTTCATAACTTCAAATGATGTTGCTATTCTATTAAAATCTTGAACTATACATGTAGATACACCTTGTGTTGCTATGTCTAACTTCTTTATGGCTCCATAACACAGATTGTTGTGGCCTCACGGGAAGGAAATGGGACATTGTTGTGTGCATGGTAAGTGGAAGAGATTCTTGCATGCAAATGAAATGGCAAAGATTCTCCCATGGGATATGAATAGTAAAAAAGTAAAATCGTTTTTGACGTGAATGATTTTACTTTTTATCAATTAATATATAAATTGTTCTTGTCAAAAACGATTTGTGTATAATTTGAAAGTCGTTCTTGTCAAGAACGATTTTAAGTGTATCACATTAGTAAATACATTTGAAATTATAATATTTTAGTATATATTTTTACTGTTTATAGCAAAAAAGCCCAATAACTTCTTTTGCTGGATTTCAATGTTTGAAAAATGTCCAAAAAGAAATAGATTAGCCTGTTTTGTCCGTTGCGCGGGGTAGAATTCGGAGTTGTCTTAAGTGGTCAGATTTTTATGTTCAACTTTTTATGCACATTTATAAATTATATTTATAGGCAACCAAAAAGAACCTCGAAATCGTAAAATATCATAATGGTGTATTTAATTTTCATAATTCTACCACTTGAATGCTAAGGTTAAGTCACTAATTTTTTTATTAAAATAATACTTGATAAGGTATGAATTACCTACTTAATTTTAATTATAAATTATTTGTTTTTGTTTAGCTCTTGACTGCGTCTTTTTAACTATTTTTTTATAATAATTTAACAATTAATATTTTTGCTTACCTATTTACTATATCTTAATAACTATATATTATGATTGTTTTTTTTTTCCGGTGATAGTATAGTTTAATAATTACCAATATCTCTTTCATGTTATTTGCAACTTTAGTTATTGATTATACTTCATTAATTAATTTTTTGTATAATACTGCCCGAACCTTAATATAAAATTTAGTTGACTAATCTGAAAAAATTAAAAAAATTAGTTTAGTTAGCTATTTATTATAAATTGATGTTTTCTTTCTTAGAACACATTTACTAATCATATATTATTATTATTATTATTATTATTATTATTATTATTATTATTATTTGATGAAATTTTTAATATGTGCAACTACTACAAGAACTATTTTAAAAAAAATGAATAAATGTGAAAGATAAAATAGATTAAGACCTTATATTTATGACTAAATAAAAAATCAAACAAATTTTTATAATATAAAACGGAGGTAGTATTTACAATCATGTTTTCCAAATTTTAAACTTCTTTAAATAAATGAATGAAAATGAGACCCCTTCTGCACGTTATTTACCATTTTTGTTTTATTCACTACACTCCATTTACTATTTATTATAATATTTTTGCAGTTAACCATGTTTTTCAAATTTCAAACTTGTTAAAATAAATGAATAAACTCCTTCAGATTATTTACAACTTTGTTTAATTAGTTTAGCAATTATCAACATGTTTTTCAAATTTCAAACATGGTAAAATAGATAACTTTTTTGTTTTTTTGTTTTTTTTTGCCAACATGCTAAATAGATAAAGGAAATCACCCCTTCCTCAGGTTAGCTATTCACTACATATAATTAGCTATTCACTACAATTAACAACCACATTGTTAATTAACTCGTGTTTATTGCATTGTACCTGATTTTGTTGGAACCATTGAACCCAATAAAGTCTCAAGATTTCTATTAGTTCAGCTGATCTGGCAGGAAGCAGTCCAGTTTCTTTGAAAAATTCCTTGATCTAAGTTTGATTATCATCTCAGATTAAACTTTACCAGTGTCTTCTTTTTTTTTTGGGTTAGAAACCAGGCGGGATTCCTTAACTGATAACTAGAGAATCTTGTTGAGACGTAGAGATCACTAAAGTGAATTTTATCTCTCCTAGCAAAACTTTTTCCATACACAACCTCAAAAAATAAAGCAATAAACCTCTCGGGATATGAAATATTAAGTGAAAATCACGAACAATTTTAAAGAATATTCATGTAACATGCACTGAAAAAAATTAAATTGCTCAACAATTTCCCAGCTCCCTATTTCAGAAAACAAGTTACCCTTGGACAAATTTTGATACAATTGTCTTGAAAAAAAGACACCAGGACGAAACACAAAAGAAATGAAGCAACTTCCATAACGGTCGGCTTGAAATTGTGGTTTGTATGACTCTTGCATTGGCCATCAGTTTGTCCAATTTAAGAGAAATGCTAAAAACAAAACTGACCTTTACCTATTAGGGTCTGAGTTCTCCCTCCGACATCGTTCAAGAATTAGATTACACTCATTCATGGTACGTGCATCTAGAAGACCATGATTCCAAAGTTTGATCATAAAGAATCTCCAAGACCTGCGAACATGAACATGACAGGTACAGTTTATTCATAGTCACAGGCAAGTATTTGTGACATAACGACTGCATTACCCTATATTTGTCTATTGCTTCATTCTCTTGCAAAAATGCTGTAATATACCAACGACGACAAATTATAGACTCCACTTTTTAAAACGAAGAGAGCCTATGATCAGCATCACTTGGAATATGGAAGATTAAATGGAACAAAATACTCATGGAACTTTGAAAATTTCCAGACTAATCTTTTGCATGTTAGAATAAGATCATAACTGCCAGAAGTTGTATTTGTTCAGTAAAGTTAAAAGACAATCTTGATAACAGCGAAGTCCACTACAAATTTTACCGGGCGGGGGGGGGGGGACACAGAAAAGTAGGGTGTGAATATCATATATGCAAAGCTGCAAACACCTCGGACACAAAAATGAAACTTACCAAGCTAGTGAAGTGGACCCGACAAGTTCAGGGGCATGCAGTTTACAGAAAGCTTCACAAGCCCATGGAATATGGCCATCAGCAATAACACTGCCAAAAAAAAAAAACATCTGAAACTAGAAAGTAGACACTTGAATGGACAAACATACCAACTTTCTCAATCTTAAATGATCTTTCTTTTTCGGGGGGATAGAAATGTTAAATGATCTTTGAGAATGAAGTAAAATTTGACTAAACCAAAATGGAAAGAACTTATTACCGCTGCTTCCGAACAAATGAGTTCCACATATGCATGATTTGCTTCTCATCTTTGGTCACATCAACAAAATTATCAAGCATCTGCAAATAACAAACCTAGATGAAAATTATGCGCAAAGGGAAAAACATCCCAATTTTCAAGCTGGATTCCCAGATGGTAAGCATTCCCAATTCTAAAAGAGTTTTCTTGTTCAACAGCAATCACAAGGAGCAACTTGACATCTATAAACTGACAACAATTGGTTATCCAGAATATAATTAAACATACCCTTCGATCTTCATAATCTGCCACATCATCATCAACTTCATCTTCACTATCTTGATCTGATAGAACTTGTTCAAGTGCCATTGGCTTTAAAAGTGAAAGAGAAGAAAGATGAACAACAAATCTAGTGGACATGATAACAGTCAAAGAAAATTTAAACATATAATTCAGATATCACCAGGAAAACATTTTTTCCTTTTCTTCTTTATTCTTTTTTAAGATGAAATCTAATGATTAAGAATATTGTCCCATCTCCAGGTTACCACAGTTCATGGCAACAACCTAGAATTATTTTAAAAAGAAAACTGTAGAATATTGTGCGAGATTTTAGGAGATTAACAGCAGATATGGTTGAGAGTTTTGTGGAATTTTATTTCCTGTTTTCATACGATTGTAATCACACAAAATCAGGCCATCATGATCGGCCTTGTATCCTCTCTTTGTATATATATGTGTTCGATCAATTCAATAATAGATAGAAGAATCATTCAACTCTTTCAAATATGTTACCATTGCTACATCGTATCTGTGAAGCTTATGGAGATGGGGAGAATGCATCTCAAATATTTGACCTCAAGGCGATGTTGTGGGACCTAAAGCAAGGTTCTCTTTCTTTGGGAGATTATTACCTTGCTAAAACTACCCTTTGGCAAGAGTTGGATCTCCTCATGATGATAGCCCGTGTTGTGCCTCTCATGCTGCTAGTAACAAGAAGATTGAAAAGGAACATTTGTTTGAGCTCTTAGCAGGACTGAACCCATCTTTTGATGATGTCCGGGGAAGGATTTTAAGTCAAGACCCCCTTTCCTCTGTTCATGGCGCCTTTGCTATGCTTCGTAGTGAGGACTCACGGAAGAAAGTCATGTTGAAAGGTGACCCAACACCTCGACCTTCCACTGTTGAACCATCAACTCTCGTTGTTCGCTCACATGATCAGCATCCTGGTAACACAAAACCCAGACTGAAATGTGAACATTGTCACAAGCAGGGTCACACCAAGGACACCTGTTGGAATCTCCATGGTAAGCCTGCTGATTGGGAGTGGAAAAAAGGCGAGGTCGTGGTTATGTGGCCGAAGTCTCACGTACTTATGATACGAGCTCCTCTAATTCGGGACATCAAGATGATCAACTAAGCAAAATCCTTGAACAACTGGCTGCTTTGGAAAACAACCACTAGCCTCGAAAGCAGCCGATTGCCATAATTGTTAAAGAGAGGTAATTTTTTCAAAGCATTGGCCACTATAAAAAGTATGAGTTCTGCGTAGTGTTGGATAGTTGATTGCAGTGCCTTTGATCACATGACTGATGATATTACACTATTCTCCTCTTACACACCCACCACCACTTTACCCCCGTTAAAATTGCTGATGCCTCTGATTCTCAGGTTGCTGGTATTGCGAGCATTAAAGTCTCCGCCACGCGTACTTTACATGTTGTTCTCCATGTTCCCAACTTAAGATGTAATTTATTATCTGTTAGTTAACTTGCACAGGAAGAATGCCGTCATGCTGATTTTTTTGCTACTTATTGTATCTTTCGGGATCTATTGACGGGGACGATGATTGGTGTTGCTAGAGTGTTTGATGATCTTTACTAACTAGATGATTGTGTTGACCACCATGTTCCTTCTTGTAATAAAGTGTCTCTCCCTAGAACTAGTGACTTGGAGTTATGGCATAAACAGCTAGGACATCCTAATTTTCAGTATATGACTGAAATGTTTCCATCCATTTGCTCCAATAAAGATTGTTCTGAATTTCATTGTGATGCTTGTGAACGTGCAAAACACCATCGTACTACTTTTCCTAGCGTTCCTTATCATGCTTCTAAACCTTTCACCACAATACACAACGATTTGTGAGGCCCTACACGGGTTTCCGATCGAACACACTTAAAGTGGTTCATAAGCTTTATTGACAATCACACACGAGTGAGTTGGGTATTTCTACTAAAAGATAAAACAGATGTTTATCAAACATTCATTGACTTCTATCACATTATTCAAACTCACATTCAAGTTCTTCATACTGATAATGGCACTGAATATTTCAATCACCATCTTTCAACCTTCCTCAAAGATCATGGTATCCTCCACAAAAGCACTTGCCCGCACAGTCCTCAACAAAACGGTATAGCCAAGAGGAAAAATAGACACATTCTTGAAACAGCCAGAGCAATCATGTTTAGCAGCAATGTACCCAAATATCATTGGGATGATGCAGTCCTCACCACCGCCTTCCTCATCAATCGCATGCCCAGCAAACCCCTGTCCTATAAAACACCAATGCAAGTCCTTCATGATCACTACAATCTTCCATATTTAGAGAATACCCTACCTTTACAAGTGTTTGGTTGCACCACCTATCTTCATCTCCATCACACTCACAAACTTGATCCCAAAGTTGCACCAACTATGTTCATCTCCATCACACTCACAAACTTGATCCCAAAGCCGTCCTCTTAGGATACTCTGGAACACAAAAAAGGTATAAATGTTATGACTCTGCTTCCAAATGTCTCTATGTTACCTGTGATGTCACCTTCCATGAAACCATTCCTTTTTATTCCCAGTCCTCGCTTCAGGGGGAGCATTGGTGTGAACCTCAGATTGAAATAGCTAACATCGACCTTGGAGACCTAGTAGAACCTGAACTCCTCCTTGAACCACAACTTCTACTCGATCTCTCCCCAGTTCTTGAGGAACCTACTAGTGAGAAAGTGCCTAAAGATAATAAGGAAAACACTGATTCACGGGGAGATACCTTCAAGAATGTACAATTCCATACACAGAGACACAAGACAGGTAATGTTCCTCAAACACATGAAGAACGCCTTGAATCAGAACTGGAAGCAATTCCAAAAGAAATATAGAGTAATCTTGATAAGGGGCAAGTGCAGAGCGATCTTGACTTGCCTATTACCATCAAAAAACCCTCCAGAAGATGTACAAGGCATCCCATAGAGAGGTTTGTCTCCTATCAGGTCCTTACACCTGAATATGCTTCTTTTGTCTCTCATCTGGATGATGTTAGAATTCCAAATAACATCAATGAAGCCTTGGCTCACCCTAAATGGAGACAAGCTGTCATGGAAGAAATGAAAGCTGTAAAGGGCAATGATACTTGGGATGTAGTTGACTTGCCTAAGGGAAAGAAAGCAGTGGGATGCAAGTGGGTCTTTGCCCTGAAATATAATGCAAATGGCAGCCTTGAAAAGTATAAAGCAAGACTTGTGACGCAAGGTTTCTCTTAGGTGTATGGCATGGATTACACGGAAACTTTTACACCAGTGGCAAAACTGAATACCATTAGAATCCTCTTATCACTCGTTGCCAACCTAGACTGGCCACTGCATCAGATGGACATAAAGAATGCCTTCCTGAATGGTGAATTAAAAGAAGTATATATGAAGTTACCCTCGGGGTTTCCTGGACAAAAGACAAGCCAAGTGTGCAAACTAAGAAAGTCGTTGTATGGATTGAAGCAGTCTCCTGAAGCGTGGTTTGACAGATTTACTCAGGTTCTAAAAGCACAGGGATACTTGTAGGGACAAAGTGACCATACTCTGTTTTTTTAGACACGAGTGGGAAAATCAGAGTTGTTGTTGTATATGTAGACGACATTGTACTTACAGGTGATGACCTGGTGGAAATAGATCGGATTAAAGGAGCCCTGAACAAGGAGTTTCAGGTCAAAGATCTTGAAGAAATGAAGTACTTCCTAGGGATGGAGGTGGCCAGATCAAAAGGAGGGATCTATATCTCACAAAGAAAGTATATCGTGGATCTCCTAAAGGAAACTGGAATGCTAGGTTGTAGACCTAGTGATACTCCCATACGAGTTGATAAGATTGAGGATGATGAAGACCTGGGCAAAGCTGTTGACACAGGAAGGTATCAACGAATGGTGGGAAAACTCATATACTTATCTCACACTAGACCAGACATTGCTTTTGCTGTGAGTATCGTAAGTCAACACTCTCATGATCCAAAACAAAAGCATCTAAACAAGGTATACAAGATTTTAAGATACTTGAAGGCTTCACCAGGGCAAGGCCTCCTATTCAAGAAATCTGACCGAAGAAATGTAGAAATGTTTACTGATGCCGATTGGACAAGTGACCAAGATGATAGGAAGTCTACATCTAGATATTTCACCTTTGTTTAGGGTAACTTGGTTACCTAGCGTAGCAAGAAGCAAAGCGTAGTAGCAAGAAGCAGTGCTGAAGCAGAATTTCAAGCTATTGCTCTTGGGATTTGTGATGGCATATGGGTGAAACGAGTGCTTGAAGAACTACAGATGAGTGTGCAGTTAGCTATTAAACTTTACTCAGATAATATGGCAGCTATCAATATCTCACATAACCCAGTTCAACATGATAGAATGAAGCACGGAGAAATAGACAGGCATTTACAAGGGAGAAGATCGATGATGGTATAATTGATCTCAGGTATAAACCCTCAAAGGAGCAGACAGCTGACACTCTCATAAAAGGTCTCACTAGAGATAAGTTCAAATATCTTATAGGCAAGTTGGACATGATTGATATCTATGCTCCAACTTGAGGGGGAGTGTAGAATATTGTGTGAGATTTTAGGAGATTAACAGCAGATACGATTGAGAGTTTCGTGGGATTTTATATCCTGATTTTATTTCCTGTTTTCATACGATTGTAATCACACAAAATCAGGCTATCATGATTGGCCTTGTATATATATGTGTTTGATCAATTTAGTAATATATAGAAGAATCATTCAACTCTTTCAAATCTGTTACCGTTGCTACAAAAACCGTCAATGGTAAATATAATACAAGAAGAAGAAAAAATGCAGCAATCAATTAATCCCACCAATGTACCTGGTTTGACCTCATTACGCATGTGTCTAAGATTACTATTTTACAACACCCTAACAGATATAAATTAACATTTTTAAAATTAAATACTTGCTGTAAGAACTTGTCTTAAAACTCGGCCAAAAAAAAGTTGTCTTGAATCACATAAAATTAGCAAATGATATTTCATTGAAAGCAAAACTCGTAACAAAAAAGATTGTGGACATAGCATTCAGGAAAATTTTACAACACAGGCAGGACAGAAACAAACTTTTCTTTTATAGACAAGGAAATGGTGAATCATTGATCTTCCCCAATCAAGCTTTCTCTTTTCCTCCATCCAATGAACACGAATCTTCTCTATATAATTTTTTTTTAAATCACATTTGCCAACCGTCGATATTCCCTAATTTATTTAGCTTAAAACTAGCCCATGATTGACACTGTTATCTTTCTATTGCCCTTCCAGTTAGTATATCAACGTTTATGGATTATTTTAACGTCTTGAACAATAAACTAGTAATCTTATCCGCTAAAAAGCCTTGACTTGAAAATCAAATATGCCATTTGCAAATTTAAAGAAAACAAGGATGATTAGTAAATAGCTTAGCAGAAAAGAAAAAAGTTAAAGAAAACAAAAATAACATATGAAAGCCAGTCATTCATCACCTGGGCTCTGTGAGAGTGAAAGAACTGCCGTTTCCTCAGGAGGGCACAGCTGAAAAGATTTCAAAGAATTACATTAAAGTTATGATAACTGAGTTTTGTGTACAGCGATACTTATAACCACAAGTAGAAAAAAATAATCAGAACTATTTTGAAAATCATAGCTTGGAAAGACTAATCTTAGACAACCACACTTGATGAAAACTGGTTCTTGTATCATATATCCAGATGTGTAGCACACATCAATAATACAATTGAATTTGTAATTACATAAACTGCGTACTACCGACTACTGGCTACCGACAAATTTGACTGCTTCAGTCACAAAGTAAAAATTAATCTAGTGCAAAGCAGAATGACAATTTCGAAACTATGAAGTGACAGCCTGTAAATAATTTTATTCACTAATTTAAAAACCAGATCAGACTGGCAAACTCAGAAAACTAGTGAACCAATTTTTGGACCGATCTGACACAACTTTTAAACTAAGCTACGGTGAAGCTTCAAGAGTCGCATACAACCAAAGCTTCATTATCCTACATTTTTCCCAGCGATTTGGAATAATTTCCCAGCAACACGGAGGCAGGTTGAAGAGATTTGTTCGGACACAAAGGGACTTGGTTCTCTTATAGCTATTTTCCACCAGTTTGCTCTTTATACATACATACATACATATATATATATATATATATATATATATATATGCTTCAGCTTCTTGAAGGAATAAAAGAATAAGGATGAGGTTTTTTATAATATGATAGATCAGTGTGTGAGAGAGAGGATGTGAGAAGAAAGACATAACTTTGTTTGACTCTCTATTGGACAAAAACACAACTATTCAGAAGAGGCAATTACATCTCTTTTTCATTTCACACAACTTCACGGGACCCAGCGTCAACAGATTTAGCCCCAACGTTTATGCATTCAACAAAGTTTCTAACCAATTACAGTGTCAGTAGACCATTCTCCAACCCAGAACATAGCAATAACAACTCATTAACCTTGAACTTCAAATTTTTGAAGGCCCAAAAATAAAAAAAGGAAGCAAGTTCAGTGCCGAAGAAAGAAAGAAAAGCCGTTCTGAAAGGATCACAGATATTGCAAGCCAAAAAGGCTAAGATGGATCACATGGTGGCAGAAAATGTTTTAAGCAGTTGATTATACAGACGCCTCAGATCCTTCCACATGCATTCTCCTTGCACCAAATCTAGATCCAAGGGGGCAACAAAACTGCAGAATCATTAACCATGCTTGCTTCTTATTTATTTACTCTCTCTCTTTTTTTTTTTGCAATTCTGAATCTCAATCCTTGTCATCGCTGAATTGGATGCCATGGAAGAAAGACCGTCAGATTAGCTGGAAGTTGAGGAACAGTGTTGTACTGAGTTAAATTTCACAGGCTAAATTGTAATTGAGGCAAAACTACAAAGACTAAATGATTAAATTTCTATTTGTAATTTTTGAATTAAACATAGGTGAATACTGTAGCTCTTTTACCCACAACAGAGAGAGAGAGTTGGACTGTTGATTGAACGGAATATTGAAGATGAAAGGTGCTGTAAGATGCTTAAACGAAAATATGCTTTGCTCTGACCCGAGTACTCTATCTCATTTACTAAACTCGAGATGAGAATTGATGGTAATAAACGAACTAACTATGAAATTGATGACACAAACTACGAACATGGAGCCATAAAACCAGAGATCGTATAACCACCACCCCTCATTTCCTCTCCAAACAGCACTAACTGTGGAATAAAATGTTTTCTATGTTTTGTCGGACTTGGGTACAAATTAATCTGGTACAAATGTTTGGGATGCAAGAAGAATGGCAAAATGATTGTGAGAGCGTAGAGTTCTTTCTGCCATTATCTGTATCTGGCTGGAAAGCAATGCTAAGACGTGGTAATTGGGATTCTAAATGTCTTATGGAAAAAGGGCATTATCTCTGGTATACTGTTGCTTAAAGGGAATCTGTTTGACTATTATAAATAGAGATCGGTCAGTTTGGTTATCTGCTTAAATTCAAGAGTAATATCCTTTATGGGTTTTCTTGTTCTTTGCTTTCTCCTCTTATAGGTTGCTTTTAGTCCCTCCTTTCACGTAATCATCTTTCTTTTTAAATAAGTTTCTTATTCCACAAAAAAGAACAATAAAGAAGGAAAAAACCATGCAGAAGCCATGAGACTTTGATGGAGATTTGGTAGCAAGGGACATAAAATCCCACATTGACTGGTATGGAATGCTTAATGGAATATTTAAGTGGGTTGATTCTCTCACATCAATAGCTAGCTTTTGGGGTAGGGATCCGCATCCTATTTAGGTATCCATCGATCGGTATTAGGGTCAGGTAGTTGTTAGTTCCAGAAAAGGCTACCAATGAAGGGCTCTAACCGAAAAGGAGGCAAAGTGAAGAGCCCTGAATTGCAACTGCCAGTATGTTGGCTTTCCATGGGGAGCAAATTGTTGGAGACTTGATAGCATAGGATATCAAGTCTCACATTGAGTGGCATGGGGTGCTCAGTGAGATATTTAAATGGGTTGGTTTTATAGCTAGCTTTTAGGGCAGGGTACCCCATCTCACTTAAGTTAGTTTGAAAAATTGTCCATTATATTGAACAAGATGATAGTCATCCACAATTGAGGAAAAATGTTTGAAATAAGAAATAAATAGGCCAGAAAGCATGAAACATGGGAGCAGGCCAGGAGAGCATACTTTCGTGGATCAGAAAGCTCAACAGATAGCTTTCTTGTCTTTGCAAACTGTAGAACCGCAGGAGTCCCAAGATTATTTTCAGATACTGATTGGACATATGGGTCTGGATGCATATGCCCCAAAAACCCTGCAAGGTAGAAGACAGTTGACATGTCATGAACAGTAGGTAGCATCAATGCTGGTATTTGCAATAGTAAATGAATAGCTAAAATACAGATTTCAGAACCTAGCACGGATTAGTATTGGGTCCAAACAGGCATGTTACTATTATTATCCTCAATGAAATACAAAATTTTCTAGATAAAAATATTAAGCAAAGTAGCAGCAAAGACAACAAATGTTTTCTTCATTGTGGAGTAGCCAAGTCCAGTGGCTACAAGAGGTCATATGTCAACAACAAAGCTTTATCCTTTTAGGTTGGATCGGGTACATGAATTGCACAACAACAAGAGCTTATACCATGAGTATAAATTTACATTGGATTGATTATTGAAATAACATTATCAATAATAAAATTAGTTTAATTCTAGCTCCAAGCGTGAGCAAAGCAAAGGCCCATTATACATTGAGTTTAGATTTAAATTTTAAATGAGAAAACAGGGAACTATGAAAATTGAACTCTTAACTACTAGGTCATCAAGGCTCTACTGCCAAGCGAAGACCACATCAAAGCAAAAGCTTAAGCTGCAACCAAGGCCTAAGAATAATTTTATTATAACCTAATCATAATCCATTCAACTTATCACCATTCTCATAGCCTAATTACAATCCACCCAACCCCTCCTCTATTTATAAGGCTAGGGACCCATTAACTAACTCTAATAAACTCTCTTCCTTTTATTACAATTACATATCAATGCCCCCCCTTTTTCTCCCCAGGAGACACGTGCAGAAACGTCAAGGTAGCCTAGTCATTACATTAACCCATGTATTACAGTAGATAGTTGTAACCGAGAGTTGCACTGAAATTTGTAAGTTTCTAATGTTCATAGAAGTATTCCAGCCACTAGTGTACTGAGTCTTCATCAAATGAGATTGGGACTTTACCAATTGACCCATTAAATTTCTAGACCTTCCCCCTTCACACAGAGAGAATTATCCTTTTCTTCCTTAATTTTACCAGCTGGAACGATAGTTGACACTCCTGGCCGAGTAAAGAGCTTCTGAGCACGACATGCACCTCTCCTCTTCCCTAAAACTTGCATATCTATCAACACTTGGAATCGCATAGCTATGTGAAACAGATGCATTTTTGACTCTGCTTCCCAATTAAGGAACAGTGTTTTGAAGCAAGTTATATTGAGAATCAAGTTACATTATTGATACACAGAATAGGAAAAGTAAAGGAAACCCACTCTAAAACATCTTTACTTCCCCCATCTATAAAGATATCATATAGATACCCTGACTACCTTTTCCCTACTATTTACTCAGGTATCCCCTAATTCCCTTCACTATTCCTGTTTCCCATATATCAATCTTGATACATATAGAATAGGACCAGAAGACTACAGGGGACACAAACTGGACTGCGAACTAGAAGACTGCAAGTCATGCGAACTAGACTTGCTACTACAGTATCATGAAGTGCCTCTATTTTATTGTACCATGATTAAACCTAGGACACAATAGGTTTATAAGCAGAAACCTAAGCTATCTCTGGTACCATATCCTGACTAATTCTAATATCTCAGATTTATTCTTCTTTGATAGGATATGATAAGATATAACATAAGATATAATATGCATATCTAATCCGAGGATATACATGATTAAAGAAATAACAAAACATAATATAAAATAAACATATAAAAATTAATAATTCATGCCTCTCAACAAACTCCTAAACAAGCACCATGATAACAATATATTGACCCCTTTTGCGATTTTGAGAGCATCAGATCAATAACTCATACGGCTAATACAGCTTAAAAAAGTTGCATACCATCAGCCTTCTCCAAAAGCTCATCTTCTGCAGGGAAGTCAGATCCTACAAGAAGTGAATGCACACGCTTTTCATTTTTAGAAGCTAAGGACTTCGGTCTTCTACGCTTAAGTGGCTTTGCACTGCAAACATTTAAGAGTTCAACATACTTTTACTTTAGAGCATATACCAGACCAACAAAATTTCAAAGCAGAATAAGTTCAGTAGCTAACCAAAAGAAGAATGTTTGTAACTTCGGATCAACACCATCGGCAATCATCTGGCATAAAAAAGCATCTCACAGTTAGCTTTCAAGGTCTAAAAGAATAAAGGGGGAGGGCCTTCACATCACACCTTTATGTTAAAAGGTTAAACTGTTTCAGAAGTTTTTTTCTGATTTCTTAACAACCGCATACGTTCTCCTGGAACCTCCCTGGGTCCCCATCTAAATGTTGCAAACTACCATCAGTACAGTTAAGCTTTTGAGTTTAACGGATCCTTAATATAAGAACTATATAACTAATTTGTGGATATTAGGAAAATTGGAGTTAGTTATCTGTAACTATCAAGAAAATTGGCTAAGTTAATTATCTGTAACAAATGTGTATTGGTTTTCTTAGAAAACCCTTTCTAACCATATGCATTGTAACTACCCTTTGATGGAAGCATCCTTACTATATGCAATCAATAGGAATACTTGGGGAAAAATTATAAATTTGGAAGACAAAACAGATTGAGATCTTATATTTCTAACTAAAACAAACCTCTTGTCTAACTCCTATATTTAGGACTAAAGTTAGTATCATTCCCAAACTTTTAGAGGAGGGACAAAAAAGTCATCCACTAAACTTTTAATATATGTATAGGTATAGATAGCATTAAAAACGTCATAATTAGTCTTCTGATAATACATTTAGCTTGGTTTCCAACTATTTCACTCCCCATTTTTCTAAACATGCTTATGCCTCACACTTGCCAACAACCCTGAAGCCACCAACCAACCCCTGGAAAATTGAAGATGAGGGGAAAAATCCACATGGGGAGGGGTTCAGACAAAAAGAATTATATCCGATTACACACTAATGAAAATATTTTTAAAAAAGGGGGGCCAAGATATCTAACCTCAGATCTCCAGATATCAGTTTTCACAGAGACATTCACAGCAAGAAATTCATCTGATTGCTGCATGATAATCTATGGTTTAATATTGATCATTTAATATAGCAACTGCTTAGAAGGCATGCAAGAATTGTGTAGAGAACTGACCCAAAATTCAAAGCTGAAGAGATCATGAGACGACGGCAAGTGACATTTTAGACCCTTGAAAAGGTTAATAATCAATAAGTCAGAAGCATGAAAAATGGTTTCCACTTATTCAAATAAGCTTAAACAAGAGAAGTCAAGACCCAAGAGTAGGGAAACCTTAAAGCTGGCACATTTAACCAAACAGAACGGACAGGAGAAATCTTCAGTGACTGCACAAAAAAAAAAAAAAAAAAAGACCTTCTAGTTGTTATACCAGGTGGAAACCAGAAAGATGTATATTAATAATAAAGGAAAACAAAACAATGTAATACAATATAACTTGTGGACATCCAAAACTAGGGCCCGTTTGGCATGCTGGAAATGATTTTGATGGAAATAGAAATGGATACAAATATGAGGTTTAAAAGTATGTTTGGTACGTTCATGGAATTTTTAATGCAAAAGTCCAAAATACCCTTGATATTAAAAAAATAAAAAAGAAAGCCCTCAAAAGCAAAAAAGCTCTCCCCCACTATCAACCTCCAGGATGAAGCCACTAAATCTGAATGAGAAGTAAATTCACCAAAAAAAGATCAGATCTATCACAATTATTAAGAAGAACAGCAACAGAACTCCTTTGTAGCAAAGTTAATTAAAATAAAGAGATTAAAAATCACAGCAGAATGGCAGGGAAAAAAACCAGCCAACCGGGGGGAAGAGGAGCTCACATTTCTCAAACAGTTTGATCTACGACCTTCATGGAATCCATTATTGATCCAAGAAGATTATTTCAAAAAAGAAGTAGATCAAAGAGACCAGGATGTCGTGGATCTCAAATGGTTCAAAAGGTGGGTCTGTTGCTTCATCAGTGAGGAGGTCATACTTCTCAGTCATTGAATAACGCCAAAGTGCTGAATTGTCAAAGCTTGAAGGAAGGACAGAGGAGTGGAAGACGTTGCTGACTATGAGAAAGTGGGAGAGTGAGAAGTTTGAGGAGGCAAGGAGCACCTGAACTCAGGAAAAGAAACGGAAAAGACAGTGGGAGAGCGACAAGTCGAAGGAGGCAAGGCATGCCCAAACTTAAAAGAGGCAAGAAATGGAAAAGACAGTGGCAGAGTGATAAGTCTAAGGAGGCAAGGAGCGGCCAAACTCAGAGAAGGAAAGAAATGGAAAAGATAAAGGTTGGTCGTCATTGCTGTAGGTTTGGTACTTGATACTACTGCCAAGTGAGTGCTTACTGTCAATTGGGCTTCCCATCGCCAGTCGTGGGGTGTGAAAAAGCTTGAAGGAAAGAAGGGAAGGGGCAAGAATGGGTTAGGTAGATATGGAATCCAATTCTTTGGGTTATAGGATGGAAGTCAATTGATTGGAATTGGAAAATTTTCCAATAGCATCATACCAAACAAACATTGTGATCCATTTCCATGTTGCTGAATTCCAGCATGCCAAACGGACACACTCAATGCTATGAAAAGACATGAAGGATTGTGTAAGAACCACTCGATCCAAAAATTAATCTATATTTGTTTTCTTTCTTTTTTTTTTAATTGTTTGGAGAAAAGAAAATAGTCAATAGCATGGAAATAATTACAACACGAGGAAAATGAATCCTCCAACATCATGAAACATTACCAAATCCCTTTAAGGAATTAGCTGAAAACAAACACAACCCAACATTCCACAAGACATTCTACGAGGCTTGAAGTATGCAAACATGGATAAAACATATATTACCCTCCTTAACTTACAAAACTTAGGAAAACTAAGATGAATTACCATGCTAATTAGTCAAATAAACACAACACATCAAAGTATCACAGTCTCAAAAGCTTAAGCATTTAGATAGAACCAAGTTAACTTTGAATATCACAAACAGAATAAATCAAGAAAGCTTTTTACCATTTTTCCTCAGATAGTGAGGCTTCCAGATTCTTGATTGAAAACTAGATTTCCTCTATCACTATATTCGGCAAAAATGCAAATACGATCTTTTTAATAGAAAAGTAATTCATGAAAAGAGAAAAAATACATCAATGGAGGACAGCAAACCTTACAAACCAATGGGGAAACACTAAACAATGGTTAACTCAACAGAGTTTGTCAACCCCGTTGTAAATCAATAAATGGAAAAAAGCCCCCCAAACACTGTCAGTAGCGGAATAAAATAAACCGTCTTCCAAAGAAGAAGAGACTGCGGGAATTTCTAACTAGAATTATTGCAGTCTGTTCTAACAAAATAGACTACAAAAGAAAATAATCACAAGAATAGAGTTGAAAAATGCATTAGAGTAATCTAAGGCAGCCATTTGTCATGTTTGTCCAAAGGTAAAGCAGCTGTTGCTCTTCCCAAGCTTGGGGCCCAAGGACGATGGAAATGTAACACAATATGCATAAAATTAACTGACTCATTAACATTCACAGATACATTACTCTAAGTGGCGACAGTCAAGGCTGTCCATTCTGCTTTTATGCATAAAATTGATCAATCAAATCTTGAAAAATGAACCAAAAATTCAAAATTTCAGGACATCAAATAATCACATACTCTTGAATGTCATTTTATATATGGGATTAAAAAGTTAAAAAAAAAAAAAAAAAGTTCCACAACAATTGGTATAATCTTAAGTTCAATTTAAAAAGCACATATAGAAAACATTCACCCTTCAATCTATTTGAAAAATAATGATGATTTAACAGATCTATAAGTTATTAAGCAAAAAAAAAAAAAAAATCATGCATATCAACCAGAAGGAGACAGAGAAAGAAACCATCCACATTACCTTCTGTTCTCTGCAACTTATTCTGGTAATACCTGTAATTAAATATGACATTTCCTTCCCTCAACCTGGACCAAACACGAAGGCAGGGATTAAAATGCAGACCACATTTAATACTAGATTGTATGACAGATTTAACAACTGTTTTTTTTAATATATATTTCATTATAAAGGAAGAAATAATACAAATGAAGCGGACAAGATAGCTTTAAGCACAACAGAGAAAGAAAATAAAACAAGACAAACAACTAAATATGAAAACATTCTCTTATCCCTCTCCATGTCCACCAAAGGAAACCCCTTTAATGAAATAGCTGAGCTAAACATCAAAGTCTCAACCAATCACTAAGGACAAAGCATTTTCCCCTTTAAAAAAAAAACAGAAAATTCAAAATTAGATATGCACCAAAGGACAGCGTGTGAAGCACTGTCATGAAGCTTGGACCCTTCTTATCCTGCCAAAAACTCAGAGAACACTCAAGAAACAAGCATATACAAAACATGAAAAGGGCAATCACAAAATGTATTTGATATCAGAATGTTTTCTCCACCTTTTTGTCGATTTCCTACTTTTCTTCCAACCATCAAATTGATTTTTAAAGCAATGAGGACACTCAAGAGCAAAGATTATGCAAACACGTGGAAAGGCAATCACAAAAAGCTTTAAGCGATAATAAACTCCAAAATCTAGAAAGAAATAGCATTTACAAAAACATATCAATCCACCTCAACAACAAGATTGTGCCAACATATTGGAAGCAGGACACCGTGGTGTCCTCAAAGCTGTAATGTCCTCAAAGCTGCTTCTCAACGAGAAAAACATGAGATAGGAACATTGGGATATGAATGTCACAAATATTTTTCTATATTCAAGAGTTCCGTCTATGCTAGAGACATAATAAAAATCAATCATGAGATTCTAGCTAACAGCTAAAGCATTTAGACAAAGTAGTCCTCAACAAAAATAATTACAAAGAACCGAGAATCAAGGACACAAAACTCTCAGCAAACCAAAAGAGCTTCATGGTAACAGATGCCTAGAAGAAATTTGAAATTTACCGCATGATATGAGATAGTGATGAAGATGGTACTTCATCGCCCACATATGTATGATAGTGAGATTTTTCCTTAGCCCCAAACTCTTCTGCAGAAACTATCATTTGAATTTGCTTTGAAACCCTCTTTGAGAACACAGAATGAAAAAGGAACAGACAGCAGTCAGTCTCCAAAAAGTATTGTTCTGTGGACAAATAATACTTAAGATAGGGCAAACCACATTTTCAGAGTTACAGGGAACTTGAATGGAAACACGCTTGTCCTCATTTAAAAAATCTGACTGCAACAAAAAGAACATAGCAGTTTATTACAACCATTCTAATTAGGACACAGAAATAATCAGGATTGAAATCGATTCTTAGACAAAAGAACATAGTCCTGACCCATAGCATAGCCTTTAACTAGCACAAGACGAAGCTGATGAAAAACAGTGCTTAACATTATCAGTTTTATACAAACGTACCTTCAAAAAACAAGGAAGAAAATCAACAGTTGACATGATCTCAGCTCGCTGCCCCAAATTAAAATTTGGAGAGCTCTCCCACGTCATATAAAGTGATTCTAGAGATACTTTTCCATATAAGCAGTATCCTTCAGCTTTTGCTGCCAAGTTCAGAATGAAATGCAATTGGAAGAAGATTTGTGGTACAAAATAATATCAACATACTAAGGTCCACACAAAGCTCTTTCCTACTGCCACTAATTTTATGTTTAAGAATTTGGAGATCTAAAGCCGTCTAATGTTGCATAGTTTGAAAGTATGGAGCATCTAGCACTACGTACATAATATCAGAAAAACCAAGCTTTGATTGAAGCAAAAGGGTAACTTACTCTCCCTAAGGGATGCCCAAATTCTGACCAACTACACGAATCCATGGGCAAGGAGGCATCCTTGGAGTTCTAGCATTTTAAAGGATATTCAATGGGGATAGGAAACTGTGGAATATTTGGGAAAGTCGTGACTGGGAGAAAGGAGACCCAATAGACAAAAGAGGCAAGTTTCTTATCAATGTCTATGTAGTGTTTTTTTCTTTTTTGGGACATCAAGGCATAAGTGCAACTAATCTTTCTTTTTTTGGGACCAAAAAAAAAAAATTAAAGCATATCTCACATGCAAAAGAAGTAAGATCCAAAGGCACCATGCTCGTACTGCCTCCAATTGATGAATTCAAGTTTTCCACTGCAAATTAATAGTTATAGAAACTAAATTGAGCACCCAACCAAAACATAAAATAGATATTCTCATCTCATATAAACACAAGCATATGCATACCAGAGCTGATGAATAGAATAGCAAGTGTACGAGATTTAGCTTCCACAGCTAGCTTACTAACTTCAGGGAGCGTAAAGTTTGCTTGGACTTGAGAACTCCCATCAATGCCAGGGCAGTTGCGAAACATGCAAAGCCGACTGATGCTATATGTAGCAGAATACTTTTCGTTTGGGAATAATTCATAACAAAGTTTGTGCAGCAAAGAAAAAGAATATTAGTGTGGAAGTATTACACCCAAAAAACCGAGTTAGCATGAAAGCACAAAACAGTTCTGCTTAAGTGGAACGATTACTACCTCTGCAGCTCCAACATCAGAAACCAATCTTGCCAGAAAGATATACAAAGGAAAGACAGTCTGGGTTTCAGTCACAGTCCGTGACAGCGAAATTGTCATTTGTATTCTATCCAAATGATTTATAATCTTGTTAGCATCTCAAAATTGATATTTACGTTCAAATACAACCCAAGAGAAGAAGACAGCAGAAAACCAATGCACCATGCTCATGTAATCACTTAATAAGTTTATTCACGCATATCTAAACATAACATATTACATGCTGTCATCCAGAAGCAGATAGGGGAAGAAGCATTGCAATGCGGATGCAAAAGTAATTTACATATAATCATGATTTCAACAACGTACTTTTAATCTTGTGAGAATTTCCGTAATTTTAAACGTGTTGAAATGAATTTATGAGGGGCATATTTTTCCAGTGATTATATTACCATAGGGACTAGGATTTATTGGTGATTAGAGAAGATCAAACAATTTGCTGAATTTTCGCCTTGTATTCCTCTTGATTATGAGCTTCAAACATGTACACACCCAAGTGTATAGAAAGATGCAATGAAAAGTAAATTATTTACACTGCTTCAATGGTTCAAACATACAAAATTCAGAAAAACTTGCACTAAGAAAACTTAATTCTGCTATCATGACAAGTTCTGAACTAGTTAATTACTGATCATGAGCTCATCCTCACACAAGGCAGATGGACATAAGATTTCAGACACTGATTTTGCCTAGAAAAAAGAGTTTATTGGAAAAAAGAAACGAGCAATTCAAAACAGAGGACAAGAAGTTCTCCCAAACAAAGGAGTAAAATTACTAAATCAATAGGTCAAAAGAGCTTTCCCATTATCTGTAAACCCAAAAGGGGCAACCACCTGAAAAGATTATTTGCTCAAACACACAGAGGCCATGAAAATAACTCTGCCAAACAAGATGACTACGAAGGTTGCTGGTATTTTGATAACACAAAACTGTGCCAGTGTGATTTATTTAGCAGGGTCTTGACTTCTTTGATTAATTGGAATACAAAAAATCTCAACCAAATGTTTCTTCCATTACATTTTCAGGAGAGAATAATTTTTGTTGTCCCTAAGGGTTTAATCCGAATACTTTTTAGGATGTATCCCTTACTGGAAAGCTTTCTTAAGCATAGAGTTTAACCCTTTTTTCTCAGCTCTGGGATGACTACTTGTCCTCCATTTTTGTATTGTTTCAATAATTTTTTAACCTGTAAACAAACAGTAGAGTTCTTTTATTTTTGGCCATGAAAGCTTCACTGATAGGAGCACACTAATCCACAATCCTTTACACACCTACAGTGGAAGGAATAAGAGGCCAAGGATAGAGGGAAATGGTGGGAGAGTGGCTGACCAAGTCAACTTAGAAGTGGGTTAGGACATTAAATGATGTGAGGATAAGCAAGTGCAAAGGCAGCATGTAACAATGATGAAGTAGTGCTTAGAAGGTTATATTATTCAGTCATGCATTTTACATTAGAAGTAAATACATGTAGGGACATAGCAGTAGGCCATTGGTGTTGATTTATTATTGTAATAAGAGATTCTTCATTGGTGTAACTTTTATATAAAAAAAATTAAGGGAGATGAAAGGTGATTTTTTCCATACTTTTTCATAAATGACAAAAATAACTAAGTACGCCATACAATTGAGAAACATCCGCCAAAGAAAAGGAAGCAAGTGAGAAGAAGAAAGCCCGGATATAATAACTTTTACCTCCTCTTGTGCCTAGCCTTTATCCTGTACTGCAGACACCTTTGGAGAAATGATGGCTGCACAAGATATGTATTCTGTTAGACATAGAACAGCTAATGACATTCTATAAAAGAAATGATAGTTTGAAGGACAAGAAATCAGGGAAAAGTTGGTCAAAAAAACATTTTACTGAAGAGAAAGATGTGCATGAAGGGAGCAAAATAAATTATCCTAAAAAACTAAAAGAACGAGTGTAAGATTTTCAAGGAAACAATTAACCTTGTGATGAATACAATATATTATAAGAAAATTGAAAAATAATCAGATAAATTACTATTCGAAATAACAGATCATTATAGCCAATACAATGTAGTACATTGCTTATAGCACGTCGCTGAAGAATGTTGTAGAACTCTACAGGCTTGCAATAAACTGCAAGACTCTCTTCAGCAGCAACCTCCTCTTCTGCAGATAAATGACCTCGAGAATCTAGGCGGCACATTTGATCACTGCTTCTAGAACAGCTGCAGGGACAAACAAATATGCATTGGCTGTGCCACACCCTTAATTGAAAAGAAAATTATGGATATCTCACATGCACAGGAAACTACAACTCAAGGCAAGGGTACACATGCAAAATCTCCACAGTGCTAGGCATAATGTGCAGAAGGAGCTTTTTCCAATAAAGCAAGTTTTATTAGAATCATAGAAGAATACAAGGAAACAAAAAAGATTTACCATAAAACAAAAACCATAAAAAATAACTGGGCTAACATGAGAAACATCAGCATGGTTAAGGGCTATCATTATACCTTACAAGTCATTGCCAACAAAATGTTCAAAAATATAGTGGTTCACAACTTCTCTGACCTAGAATAATCACTTTAAAAAGCTTTCATACAAACATGTAACAAGGACAACGTTTCAGAGAAAAATCAACATGATCATATTATGGGTTAGAAACTACCAAGTCTACAACCGCCATAGCCCTAAAACACTCTTTTGACATTTTCCTTTTGCAAACACATATCCAATACAACCCAATTATTTCGGATTCAAACAATGTCTGAACCCAAATGAGGAGTCAATCTTCCAGCATTGTATTTTCAGCCTGTAAGGCTCAAACCTGAGACCTTACTTAAGGGCAATTGAATCCTTACCACTCAACCTAACTGACGCTAGTATCATACTCCTAATAAAGTCAACAAAACAACTCAACCAAAACTTGGGGTCAAAACATTAACTTTTGCTCTGTTTAATTTCTGATCCTTAAATCAGACTTTAATTTTAATGTGCATTATTACTCTTATACAAGATTAATTTCCTAACCATATTATGGTGCATTGCTCAAGAAAGGAATAACTATAATGACTATTCAAAGAAGCTCAAATCGGGCTTTTCTTCAGAAGACTGATTAGCTGGCTTCTGAGATAAAGCCTTGCCAATAGCTGATTTATCAAAAGCAAAAGAAGCCTGTTTTTTATTTTACGCACAAGTATACCCTTCATCACATTTCAAAACAAAAAATAGTGCCCTTCCCGCACTGTGCTCTTTTCTTCTCCCAGTTCCAATCTAATTAGGAACCAATGACAAATCCAGAAAGGATTTGTGCCATATGACAAAGGAAATTTCCCAGCCATACATAAAGTCAGCAGCATGTGGATTGAAAACAAAAAAGACAGAAGCGAGGAGTCTTTGCTCCGGTCCAATTCCTCAGATCTAGCACACTTTTTACCACACAAACTGTTTTCAATCTCCTCTGCACTTCCCGTGACAAATTTGAACAGATCAGAAGCAGATTTATCAAAAAAATTCAGTAAACCCAGGATTTACCTTGCTTTTACAAAAGAAAATTTTGAATAGAGCAGATTAGACACGGTGACCGCATTAAATATTACCTCCTAACAAGCAGTTCACATGCATCAACGTCTAAAACAGAAACACCAATGATCATGATCAGATAAGGATCTGATGAAATAAAATTGTTTGCCACCACAAGTTGAATAAAATTTACCTTACTGAACGAAAGGCGAGAGAAATGGAGGAGAACGGGATACTAACGCCTGTCTGCAATCGATTATTTCCCCTATTTAACTCTTCTGCTCTCTTCAAATAATCTAATTTGAAGAGGAATAACAGGTAAAGAGGAGGAAACCTGAAGACCTAGCTTGAAGGGCCATTGAACCTAGCAAACCCTATGACCTAACCTACACCCAATAGAGCAAATATCTGTCCTCTTTCTATCTTGCTTAGCTTCATGCCTGTGGTACTTATACCCTTCACAGTTCAGGCCATCACATGCCGCCTTACAGAGATACTAATTTTTTTAATAATTAACTAATATTATTTTGTATCACACATTGAGTTTATTATTTAGTAATATGTGCTTTTATAGTTTGGATGAATTACTTTATTCTTCTCCAAAAGATGCCCAAATTGCACAACCTTCTCCATCAGGAAGATATACACAAACAACAAGACTTGTCCCAGTAGGTGAGGCAGCAAGATATACACAAGCCTTGCCAAAAAAAAAAGGAGAGAGAAAAAAAAGGAAGATATACACAAGCGTCCATTTAAACCAAAAGATCATGAACTAACTGAGGAATAATATTGCTTTCCTTTTATAAAAAAATAAATCCTCTTAGAAAATGTATCTCTCAGACTTATATTGAAATGTTACTTATTTCATGCAGAGCAACATAGATGTAATTTATTCTAAATTCCAAAAAGGTATTACATTACTACTTCGTACATTTTACACATAATAAATATAAGGGTAGTTTAGTCAACATATATGCCATTGTATATTATCCTCTGCTACAGAGAAGCCTATTGTAGCCCATACTTTTGGTTTAGGGGAATGAATGTGATTTTTCAAATCAAAGAGGAGGGACATGTAAAATTGGGCCTCTCTCAGGGGAAAAAGAGTAACTTACCATTGTAGTTTTACATAAATAAATAATTTCAAAATTCAAAAGACCCATACTGATCATAATATCAAAATGTAGATAACTGTAACTTCATATAAAAGCTTTATTAAAAAGGTAAAAAAAAAAAAAAAATTTATCAGCCCATACAAATTGATCCTTGATTGTTTCAACGCAATTTGTATCTAAATCTTTATCTCCCTTTCCAACGTTACACTCTTTTTCTTCATTTTTTTTTTTTACTTAATCCATTTGTAAATTTATCACCACTATAACGTCACTTGAATAGTCACCTCCACTCCAAGAAATTAGAAAATCCTAGCAAATTCCAACGTTTTAGGCAGTGACTTATGGTGAAGATAGATCATCAACGTTATGGCAAGGGATGAAGAACAAGAGAAATTAAATCTAGCTAAAGATACATAGCCATAAAATTTCTATTCAAACAGTAAGATTTGTTATGCTGGTAAAAAAAAAGTCGTTTTAACAAACCATAGTATTCTAATATCCCTTTTGTATTTATTCACAGGAACTTTCAAATTAATTTGAGGAAAAATAATTTAATTACATTGTCTTGACATAAAAAAAAAAAAAAAAAGCTTGAGGGTCATGATAAGCAGGATTTATACAAATATAAGGAATACTGCTGATTTATGAGACTGGTGTAAAGCATGTGATAGCAAAATGTCTCAACCCCAAAAAAAAAGAAGGGAAAAGACAAGCTTTATCATTAAGAGAACATACGAGGTCTCACGCGCCACAACAGGTATGCCTGGCATTCTTTGCGAACAATTCTTAGATATATTTCATATTGTCTAACATTTAAGTATTTGAAATTTTCACCAGCAATCAACCTGCAAAACAAAATGGGGCCAGAAATCATCAAAGCCATTATAGCCATTATAAAATAGTAATGATTCCAAAATCACAGATTAAGCAATAATAGATCACAAAACCCTAATTACTTGAGACAGTTGCACAACTACTGATCCAAAATAATACATATATGCATGCTTTTAGTTTACAAACACCATTTAATTTGAAAAGATTAAGGAACCACAGTGGCAGAAAAATAACATCGAATACCCATGAAAAGCAATGTCAAGTGTACCCTGTTTGCATGAGGAGGTAGACAATAAAAAGTTAAATGAATGACCAAGCGACAAAGTAGGGAAGAAATGAAACATATGATCAGAGCGTAGCTGTGATCAAGCTAAGAGATGGACAGGAAAAGAAAAGCAAACAATCACAGTGTAGTAGAGGGGTGACAGAATCATGCATTTGTATATGATTAAAAGGACTCCAAAAGCTCCTATGTCCAACTGATGTAGACTTGCATAAATTCCAATGAATATAAATACAAAATTGAGAATCCGTTTAAACTGCCACATGAAAAAATCACAACTTCATAACATCTTTAGTTACCCCGCCCCTCCAGGCATAACAAATAATTGTGTAATTTTTTCTGATGTTTGGCCAGTCCAGTTCTTTTCTTATATGATATGGACTTGTTATGAAAACAGAGAAGCCTTTCCTATAATCCCATGTTCTTCAAGAACACTGCTCTCGTTGGAATTGTCCCCTTCAAGCGAAAATATGTCAGTCATTGCCGATTTTAAGTTTTCAAGATCAATGCAATCAGGCAAGAACTCAAACAAGCACTGCATGGATAGTGGTTAAACAAGAAAATAGTATCGCCTACGACAAGCCCATAACATAAGTCATAGAACAATATGTAATGAAAAGTAATTGACTTTGGTAGTTGGATGAGCAAGAAGAACTGCCGTTTATTAGAGTGAAAGGGATAAGAAAGGGAACGTACGCAGCTTAGAACAGATTTTGAAAGCCAATGAAAATCCTTCCTCTATTCTCTCTCAGTAATCTCTGCCTTCTTTCTCTGTATTCTCCTTCCCTTTCTAGTTATAGTAGAAAATGAGTTATAGGTAAAAGGTTCGCAAGAATTCACCACAAACCAATTTGTTTTTTTTTTTAAACAAAAAAAAAAAGAGGGACAAATTGGAGGAAGAATAGAAAGACTCAAGCTAATAATTATTTTCCATCCACATTAAAAACCAAGAAAATCAACGGCCTTTTAGAGAGAAGTTGGAAAAGAGGTGAGAAAAAAAGAGCAGATTGCAAAAGAGGCAAATGGGTGTAAAGAAAAGTAAATACCAGCAGCTCGTCGATGATAGGAAGCTTCCATGTTCAACCTCTCAAAATTTGCTCACGCAACATGCGCAGGGGAGTAAAGGGGTGGTGAATACAAGTGAAGGGAAACACAGTACAAGTTGATGCACAGTGCGGAAGAAGAGCGTAGAGAGGGTCCCCCGAGAGAGAAAGGGATGGAGTAACAGAGGGAAGAACACAAATTTGGAAAGTGAACCGAATGCACAGTCACACAGGCCAGCTCAAGCTAGGGCTTAACGGGGCGTCTGCTGTTTAATGCGGTCTATCAAATTTGTTTCCGTTAAATCGAAGAATGACTCGTCTACTAGTTTCCTTTTTTTCGCCAATCAAATCTGAAACAAATTTTTCAATCTCTAATCTTATTTTTTTGACCAGATTTCAATCTCTAATCTAATTTAATTTGATGAGATGATTGATGATTTGATTGGTATTTTTTCTGTTGGTATTAAATGCACAGTGAACCAGACCAGCTAAGGCTAGGACTTAATTGAACGGTTCTTCAAGTCGAACTAACCAAAACCAGAGCCAACGGCTTTGGGAGCTCCAACGAATCATTTTTTCCCGAATAAAATAGGAAGCAAATTCTCAAGTCATCTAATTTAATTCTTACATATATTTATTATTTACTTCTTTTATTACCCATAATAATTATAATATTATCGTGTTGTTACTTATGTAAGAGATGAGATCATGAGAGAAGCTTGTTACACTTTCTCCCTGCTTTGGTTTATAAATAATAATTGGAAAAATCTCAAAAAATTATTTAAAAAATGTGTTGTCATTTACTTTTTAAATATTATTAATTATTATTAAAATATAATAAATAAGACTGATTTGAAATTTTGAAATTCAAAGGTATTTTTTTGATTCTCCCACAATAATTTTCTGAATAATAAAAATTGTACTTATAATTTGTTGATTTGTGAAAAAAAATTGCACTAGTAGTTAATAATTTGATTTTCACTTCACATACATCTAAACTAATTGAGTCCATGAATTTAAAATAAATTAACATCAATCATATTACATATGATATATATTTATATAGAAGCGTTATATGCATAATAATTTTTTATTTTTACATTGACAATAAATAAAGTTTATCCCATCATTTTTTTTTTTTTAAACAAATTGTATTTTGTTCGCATGCATATTAATCCTCGTAATAAATTATGAATACAAATGTACAATGATTAATATATACTACCTCTGATCATAAATATAAGAACTAGTTGACTAATTTAAATGGATTAAGAAAATAAATTAAGTTGGTTATTTGTAATGAATATGTGTTATCTTTTCTAAAATACCTTTACTAATCAAGTGTATTATTGGATAGAACTATCATTATTAGAAGGATTATTTTGAAAAAATACATAAATATAAGAGACAAAATATAATCAAATGAGTTCTTATATTAATCAAGCAATGTCTTATATTAAGGACCAAAAGTAGTATAATTGAAGAAATTATAAAAATCCAGTAAAAAGAACAAAAAACTAATTAAAAATCAGGAAGAAAAGTCATAATGTCCTAATAAAAAGCATGCAGAATTATAGAATCTCTGAGACATCTCATTATAAACCTTTTGAAATATCCATATTTTAATTTGAATTACTAACCTTAGGAAACCATTGATAAGGTTATAAGATTATGTTATCCGAATTGAGATTTAAAAATTTTGTTACCCCAATACTCGTGAATTAACTAAACTTAGGAAACCATTGATAAGGTTATAAGATTATGTTACCCGAATTGAGATTTAAAAATTTTGTTATCCCAATACTCCTGAATTATTAGAAAAGATAAACCGGAGACAATTTGCTACTGAAAATGATGTGAATATGAATTTGAGAGGTAAAAATTAAGAGGGTGTTTGGATAGAAACCAAATTATAATTTAAAAAGTGTTTTTACAATTTATAAAATAAATATATGGATGAGTTTGTCTCGTTCTGCGGAAAAATGCTTAGAAATATTTTTTATGGTTGACAAACACTCCCTAAGGCTATCTTGTGCTTTATTTAAAAGAGATTATTTACTATGACACAAAAAAAAGATTATTTACAACAATTTTGTTAAAAATGAGATTTGAAAACTTATGAATTTGGAAATTTAACGTATTAATTTCTAAGGCCGCCTTGTTAGAGTGCCTTTGAAATGTATTTTGGATGGAGTGATACATAGCAAATTGCCAGTACAAGACATTGAAAGATAATCCAACTTTAAGAACCTAAACTCAGACCTTAGATGACCCAAGTTCACTGTGGAAGATGAAACTGGGGAGGAAGCTAATAGCAAAAGAGATTTGCGAGATTTAGTTAAAAAAAGAGGACCTTCAATTGATACATTAAAAACTTTTGTAACAAAACTTTTGCAATAGTCATCTTGTAACTTATGTACAAGATATCTTTAGAAATTAATACTCCTCCGATTCTTAATATATGACCTAATTGTTAAGTTGATTTTGATCCTAAATATGATACATATTTCTCATATTTATTAATTTTTTTTAAATTATCTCTATGAATACTCTTTTAACCATGATCAAGTAGAAGAGGGAAGAAGGATATTAAGAAAAATGATTATGGTGTTTTAAAAAAAAAAGTCATATTTCTTATAATCAACTAAGTTACATATCTTGTTTAATCTAATCAAATTAGTTAAATATGCCTTATATTAAGAACCGGAAGAATACATTAAAAACATCTATGTGTACAAAGGGAATAAAACAGTACATTCATTTTTATTTTTATCAGCATGCGTTTTTTTTATTTGAAATTTTCTATTCAATTTAATTTTTTGACTAGCTATATACAATTCTATTTCACACCTTCTAAGTAATATTACTGTACAATTATCAAATTAATATTTACTTAACATCTGATTTTTATCCATTAATCCACTTCGGCACATTGCGCCCCCGAAGGGGGAAAAAGAACCATTCATTAGCCGTTGTCAGCAGAGGACAAAAAAAGAAAAATAATAATAAAGAGCCGTTGAGGCGTGGACAGCCCAAGGTCCGAAGAGCGCTGGGCGGCAAAAATTTTGAATATATTTCTTGCCCAGTTGCCCTACATGAAATAGTTTCAAAGCGATCCGCGACCCTCTCCGCTCTTATTCTGCTTATCTTTTCGATTACCCCCCTCTCTTGTTCTGCTTCTCTTCTCGATTTCCTAAAATTTGTGGTTTAGGGCAAGTACTCTCTTCGCTACAGTAGATCGGAGAACCATTCTACGCAGTATTGCACTCATCTGTCCAGTAGACTCGTCAGCTCAGCATATTTTACGGAGTCCCAGCAGGTATTTATTGTTCTTTTTTTTTTTTATAATAGGTATTTATTGTTCTTAATGTCTCTCCTTCTCTTTATTTAGAAGTTGCATTAACTGATTTGACGTTCTTATCGGTATATTCAGTAATGGGGGTAGAAAACTACCATGTAATTGAGCTCGTCGGTGAAGGTTCATTTGGGAAGGTGTACAAAGGAAGGAGGAAGTATACAGGACAGGTTCTCTTGGATTTCACCAAAAGTGTATATTTTCTTTAGCGTTTTTGCTATTTGTATTCTTCAATTTTGCTTTTGATACCAGACCGTTGCAATGAAGTTCATCATGAAGCATGGCAAAAGTGAGAAGGACATCCATAATCTAAGACAAGAAATTGAGGTAATTCATTTTGCTTTCACTCTGCACTGCTGCGTCAGCGGCTTTCACTACATGGCTTTTTAATTTCTCGGTATTTGAACATTGAACTTTCCAATATTTGATTCCTGCCCAATTTTAAAATTAGGTAAGCAAATATATATTCAGTGACAGTAAATTAGTTATCAGCCATTCAAAACTTTAGATTGCTGGAGTTGAGAATTCCTTTCTGCTGTTGAGTTTAGCAGAGATTCACTGTACCATGCTACTAGGATTTCTTTGCCTGCGATTTAGCAGAAGCAACATAGTTTCATGCAGATAGAATCAGCATATGAAAAAATAGGATAGTCTTGGGGTGGACTCTATGCAATTAAATAATTTAGCATTCTTTGCTTAACTTTTGATTTCGAATAATTGAAGCACTAAATATTTGCTTCTTTTTTTTTTTGCCAACACTAAATATGTGCCGTTTAATTATATTTCGATTTTGAATCCTGAATATTTGAATTTATACAGGAAATTTTTATTTTTAGCCATTATAATTAATGAGCCCGCACTAATCAGAATCAGAACTATTGTAATTTGAAGCACTTTATGTGCTGTTTAATTATATTTTGATTTTGAATCCTGAATATTTAAGTTATAGAGAAAATTTTTATCCATTATAATCAATGAGCCTGAACTAATCAGAATCAGAACTATTGTAATTTGATAATCAACACATCAATACATCATGTAATGAAAAGGTTTAAGAATGCAAAATGTCTTAAGAATGTACACTTGAATTCAAGCTTTAGCTCACCTGTTTTCTTGTTATTTTTTTCTCATTAGCTTTCATTTGCTTAAATGTGAAGCTTTACTTTTTTTTTTTTTTTTTAATTGATTAAGCTATTAGACTTACATCAATTGTGCCCCACTAGAAGAGAACAACTCTGCCTTCACTATTTCAGCAATTCAGCTTCCTTGATTACTGTATTCTTAGGTTGCATTTCCTTAAATTTCTATATTGGTGTTGCCCAAATATTTTAAGTCTGAACTTCTCTACTTTTTTCAACTTTCTTGGTCCGTTATCTTTTATTGTTCCCCCACAAGTGACTGGCCACCTCAGAAAATAGTTTATTCCTAAAGAAGTGAATATATAAAAAATATTTTATTCCATTTAAGGAACTGTATCAAAACGTCAAAACTTCTAAATAGATGAAACTTTATTGTCACACTAGAATTTCATTCTGAGATTTCATATTTTATATGGACTTTGAAGGTATCTACTTTGTTGCAAGGGAATGTATCATACTATTTTCTTGAAGTACCAAGCAAGTTTGAGCAATTATAATAAACTACTTTGTGGGTGATTAAAATTTTAACCGAACAAATTAACTAAAATTTACACCTGCAGTTTGATTTTGAACTAGTTATATGCGGTGGTCCTCAGGTCACTTTCCAAGCACAATTCACATCAGCATGTTTTTTGTTGACGCTATTTCTCAAAAGTTCCTTGGAATAAAAGGGTTATAGTCTATGTGAACTCAGTCATTGAAGTGTATAAATATGTTGGGTCTATGCCAGTTCTATTCACTTGTTTAAGTTCTTTTTATGAATTGTATGAATGTATGATTCCTTCCGATTTTGCCAAATACTTAAAGATATGTGGTTTGTTAACTTTTGCAGATCTTAAGAAAATTGAAGCATGAAAATATTATCCAAATGCTTGATTCCTTTGAAAGCCCGCAAGAGTTTTGTGTTGTCACAGAATTCGCGCAAGTAAACATCTTCTATCATTTACTTAAGTTGGCCTTTTGACTATTAGTGATTGTAGCGTTCAATTCTGAAACACATTGACTTGTACACATTATGTGCAATTAGCTGATGATTGACAGGGTTATCATGCATATAAGAAATGCTAGTTTTATTTCTCAATTGGCAGGGAGAATTATTTGAGATTCTTGAGGATGATAAATGCCTTCCTGAAGAACAAGTTCAAGCAATTGCAAAGCAATTGGTATTTAATTCTTATAAAGAATCCGCCTTCTGCCTATTATTTCAAATAAAGCATACTTTTGGCTATGAATTTTGTTTAGACTGCAATTTTTTTTCCATTTCTACCATGCAGGTGAAAGCATTATACTACTTGCACTCTAATCGCATCATTCACCGCGACATGAAGCCACAGAATATTCTCATTGGTGCTGGATCTGTTGTCAAGGTTGATTAAACTTAGAGTTTCTTCATTCACATGGAATCAATTTCCAACCTGTGTTTCTGTTTTTCACTTGGGTTTTTTTTATACGGTGCATAATTTGCGGAACATATTTGATCCTGCTGCTTATCCATTATGCTTGCCATTTTTCATTTGAACCTTTCCTTTTGGCAGTGCACTAATGCTCTTCCTCTGAATGTTCACTGCTGGTTGTTGTGAAAGAGTTTATTGTCTTCCATTTTGATGATGTAATTCGTAGACATAAAGAAACAGAGAAAAGACAATAGTTGCTATAATATTACTCTGCTGTACATTAATTGGGTGGCTTCACTTCCAGCGTAATGAGTTTTGTTTGAAGTTATGTTTTTGTCTGTTGATTCTTTCTATGTGTACTAATTATATCCAGCTCATTTACAAAAATCTTTATTTGCCTATAATCACGCACTCTCCAGTTTTGCCCTACTTAGTGATTATTGATGATACGGTTTTCATTCCTATATATAAGTACATTTAATAATTATTTAATTTTCTCTTGGATTTGCAACAGCTTTGTGATTTTGGGTTTGCACGTGCGATGTCGATGAACACTGTTGTTTTGCGATCCATAAAAGGTTTGCTTATCAAAACTGATGTTTATTTGGTATAATGGCTTTTCTACAGCTTCTTGCATTTTTTTTTTTGGCCTGAAAATAGCTTCTTGCATTTTGAGAAATTATGCTACTATGTGTATGCATTTGAGAAATTATGCCACTATGCGTATATTTTTTCACTTAAATGTTCTTTGCAGGAACTCCATTGTACATGGCTCCAGAACTTGTACGGGAACAACCTTACAATCACACTGTTGATTTGTGGTCTCTTGGTGTTATATTGTATGTTTTCTTTATCTTGAACAAGGAATATACTCTTCTATGTGCCGTTATGTATGTGTATTATTTGTTTGAATTCTTACTTGATGTGTTGAGAATCTGTAAGCTTCGTGCTAGCATCTGATTGTTTCCTCAATTTTGTTGCTTGTAACGCTCAACTATTATGCTTCCATTTTCCATCCATAGCAGTGGATAATTTTTACATATTTTTTTATAGTTCATCAGATTTAAGCTCTATCTTCAGCTTCTGCGTAGGTTATTTTCTGAGCATATGATCAACTTATAAAAGACCCTTTGTAGTTTCCTTCTGAATGATGATATTGTCTTACTCCTAGTCATTGCCATGTTAGTACAAAGCCTTTTCTGTCTCAATTTTTTTTTTTTTTTTGGTTATTCATCTTAATTTTAATTGTTGAAGCCATTTTTTCATGCCCACAACAGGTATGAGTTGTTTGTTGGCCAACCTCCTTTTTATACAAATTCTGTATATGCTCTCATCAGACATATTGTTAAGGTACACTTCTGAAACAGATGAAGCTTGTTATTTTAGATCTTCCACTCCATGATGAAGTGTGGGCCCCTTATATACAATAATCCAGGACCCAGTTAAATATCCAGACAGCATGAGCCCCCAGTTCAAAAGCTTTTTGAAAGGTTTACTTAACAAGGTAGTACACAGTTGTGGATAGTTCCCTTTCTCTATTACATATTACTTTTATCCATATTGATGTGTAAAATTCTTTGGTTTATGAAATTGTTCCTATTAGGCACCAGAAAGTCGACTGACTTGGCCAGCTCTTCTTGAGCATCCATTTGTTAAGGAAACTTCAGATGAATTAGAGACAAAGGTAGCCATTTAAACTTTCTTTATAGTTGTACTAGTAAATTTATTTGGCACCTCTGTTTGGGAGATAAACAATAGATGCACAATTGTTTTGTTTTGTTAAAACGTAAGAAACACATAAATTTGTGCCTACTACAGGAAACGAGTGAGATATCTGTTTCACCGAAGGGCTGTGATCCAACACGGAGGGGTGAAGAAAAAACCTATCAACCTTCAACAGGTTCAGTTTCTTCTAGCCCTAGTGCTGCAAGTAGATATGCCACTATATATATCTGTATCTCTTTATGATCCTTATTCACATAATCAGTCTCAAGACTAATCAATTACATTACAGCTTTTGAGGAGAATACTACTTTGCCTTCTCAAAGTGAAGCTCAGAAAAATTGTCCCAACTTGGAGACAGCCCATCCTTCAGTACATAATGCGTCCCCAGGATTTTCAAATCAAAAGAGTGTTAGAGAAACAGGTAATGTTTCCTGGTTGTTAGTATGCTTGTACTTCACTTGATGTCAGAAGAAAGGTGCTGTTTTTCCTCTTTATCTTCTTGTCCTACTTTTGCTAAGTAGTTGTTTAGAACTTAATCTGAGATTTTGAATTGTTTTATGTTGAAATTAATTTCTTTCTCAATATATTCTGTTAATGAATATTATGCCATTGTTTTTGCTACTTTAGTTGGGTAAGTAGCAGTCTATTATGGTATTTAAGTTCCAATATAAGTTTGCTTAGGTATGACATATTTAACTTACGGTTGCGCTAGTTGGAAACTGGCAAACTTGAAATCATTTGATGATCTAATGGTTTTGAATTGGTGTTAACCATTAATTTGCTGTTGAATTAATAATTTTTAGTTCAGCATACCATTTGTGGGTCTTTGGCATAGCATTTTGCACTTTTTTACTCTTCTATGTTTCTCTATGTACTAGTTCCTTTTGTCTGGTTCTTGTACCTGGAAGTAGTAGACAAGATGGCTTCCAAGAGTGGCTCATTGCATTTCAGTAAATACAAGCTTTATGGCCTCATGAAAATTATTCTATTTAGACCTTTACCAGCAGCAAAGGCATACACATAAGAATTTTAGTGGCTTGATATCATGCAGGATCTTGAAACACTATTGTGTTTTATTTACGTAGAGAAATGATTATGATTCTCTGTTTTGCTTGAAAGCCTGTAATATGTGACAGAACTATTTCTAATTAGGTTGCCAGAGATTGGAGAAACTAGAAAATATCTCTCGTACAGTGAAAGGTGCAAAATTAATTGGTCAGGATAGTGAAGCATTGGCTTATCTTATGCTACGCTTGAAAACATGGTCTGAAGGATCTCCTGACCAATGCAGGTAAATGAGATGTGTAGACATGTGTATTATGCATGTTAAGCCCACATGACTCATTATTTATTGAAAATGTACAGTGATCAAGACATTGTTGATACAAATCGGTCATTGAGAATTCTCTCAAATCTAGTTGCAGCAGAAGCCCTCAGTTCTAGTGGACGAATAGATGAACTACTAAGTGAGCTTCTAGCATTTAGCGGAGTTATCATGAGAATTAAATCCTCTGAAGCTAACGACATGGTAGAAAAGGTGTAGCACTGAAATATTTGAATTAGAATTCCTCTCTTTAATACTTGTACCCTGCTTTGAGCTAGGTTCAATTTGCAAATAATTGATTGCTAAACATTTTTTTCATTTTTGTTTACTGAAGATTGTAATTTCTGTTTTTCTCACTTGATCATTATCCCTGCCCTTTTTGTTAGTTTGATACTTTTTGTAAGGCTTTTTTATTTTTTTCACAGAATTTTTCAACAAAATAATTTTCTGCTTTCCCCTTATGAATTACTTTTTCCCCCAAAATATAAATTTTCCTTTTAATTTCAAGCCAGAAATTTCCAAGGCTGTTCGCCTGTATCCTATCTTTATCATATTTTTGTATTTTAAATCTTTTGCTTGATAGTTTTTTATTTTATTGACTTCATTATTAACTCAACATTTTATTTTGTGCAGAGTTTCTCTATCACTAAAATGTTATTAGATAATAATGGAAGCTTCAATGCAAGCTCTTATCTGAGGCATTGGGTTGCGATTGTGGAAATTTATTCACAGGTCATATTCTTTTTATTATGTAATTTCACATATGATAATTCTAAACAAGGGATAGCATCCAACCAGTTTAAATGTAAAAATTCATTGGTAATACAGACTCTGTTGGATTATTTTAACTACGTTTTTTTCATGCCATTTGAGTACTTGACATTTGATTTGTTTTATTTAAGGATTATTTTTTGTCTTTTGTCTTTTTGGGGATAATGCTTCTATGTGATTTTGTATTAGTTTAACTGTCCCTTTTATCAGGATATGATTAATTTAAGTTTTGTATTTTTATTAAGATAGATTTATCCTGTTTTAAAAGTTATGTCTTTTAGTTGGAGTACTTTGCTCTTATTTTTACCTTCAATTTATGCACACAACACACACACACATGTACTAATCTTGAATTTCTACATGGTGATAGAGCAAAAAATCCCAGCTTTCTTACAAATGAAGATGAGGAAAGTAGGAAAGAAATACCCATTTGAAAAAAGTCATATGCCATGGTGACCCTTTCTCTCAACCTAATTGACCTCCAATAGATAATTACGATAGCATAAACAGAAGAAGAAATAATCTTGCTTAAGTTGGACTTAGGTTTACAAGAAACCAGGTTGCCTGACTTCCCACTAAAACCAAAATTCTTCTTTTGTCACTCTACCGCACACAACCCAAAAGAAAGCACTTACACCTCCCTTCCTCTCACTTCCAGACAGCAGTGTTATTCTCACATTGGGCCTTCTTTGGCCCTCCTCCTCTTATAAACGTTCCCCTGCTTCTTAGAAGAAGAGTCTTGAGCCTCTTTCTGCTGTAAACCTATCCCACTCTCCCACTAGGCCATCATCTTTTATAGATGCATATGATTTCTATTCAATAAATAGTTCAGAAGATTATCAACAGTGAATTTTCTACATTTTATTTGTCCCTGTTCTTATAATCTATATTTGTGTTCAATAAATAGTTCAGAAGATTATCAACAGTGAATTTACTACACTGTATTTGTCCCTGTTCTTATAATCTATATCTGTACCTGTCATGCATTATCATAGTGTAATCCAGTAGGATTTGGATATTACTTAATACTTTTTGATAGACATAAAGAAAGCTCTTGGTGATGCACATTGCTTACATGGGTACTGCACTCTCAATTATTGATATATGCAGGTCGTAGCTTCCATAAATGATGCATCTGGAAAGGTTCTCTATGAGTCCAGTGCATGTATTACAATAATGCTATCTAAAGTTGCTCAGGCTGTTAAATCATCTTCTCAGACTTCAGGTCCCGAGACATTGAATGAGACGATAAAAAAAATTCTGGATCATGCTAAAACATCTGGTGTAGTGGATCTTTTGTGTCTCTGCTTAAAAGCTTCAGGTTCTTCAGGTTCTTCTATTATGTTACGGGCAGCTTCAGAGGCATGTAGAGCTATCTGGTCTCTGATAAATGCATTGGATATTCTTTTCATGAAAACAAATGCCATTGTATTTCCTATAGATGCTTTGCAGAGCCATTCTTTGTCCCGATTAGAAATTATAGATCATGATCAAAGTCCACTTATTGGGTGTGAGTCATCAAAAATTGTTGAAGCAGTAACAAAAGCATTTCTGAATACCAAAGCCATTCGGGTTGCTGTTTACTACTGTTTCCACCAATGCCTTGAGGCTGCAATGTCTTCTGGTCTTCAGGTACGAGTGGCTTAGTGCTTACCTTGTTTACAGGGTTTCTTTTTGTGACAGCAGGATCTATGCGTGTCCTGTTGGTTAGATATTGTAAGGCAATACAGATTTTTTTTAACCTTTTTGTTACACTCAATTATTGAATTGAAGTTTCCAGTTATGGATATGACATACTGACAATGATAAATTTATTATTCCTTTGCTCTTTCAGCTTTTGTCAAGGTGTTGCCTGCACAGTGGTGTTGTTCCATCACTCCTTTGTGGTCTTCCTAGCTCCCTTCCTGTGGCTACTGTTGTTAGTGGTGGTGGAGATGGTACAATTGTTTCGGAAATATTTTCTGTATTGTCATTATGCACTGCCTCTTTAAATAAAGATCCACAAAGTGGAGATTCAAATAATCTGAGGTGCAAATTCACCAATCCTTCTGCTCTGATTCTTTCTTCATGCCTCATTCTTGCTATAATTGCTCAATGTTTGAAGTCATCTGGAAGAAATTCAGCACTGTTTATGCTCACAAACTCACCGAAGAAACAGCTCGCTCGACTTTCATTGCTCGCCCATCATATTTCTTCTGATGATAGAGAGAAAACTTCTTGTCAACCCCAAAATGCATCAGCCATGCTTGCTTTAGCATCCATTCTATCCCTTGAATCAGGGGCTGCTATTGAGTCCTCGATCTTTGAAATTGCCATGCCTTTGATTCCTCGAACATCTTCACTATATGATTATCTTAAAATTTCATCTGTTAATAAAAATGAATTGGATCCTTCCTACCCTGGTGGGAAGCTCTCATATTGGCAAGGACTAAGGGATGGTTGTGTTGGCCTTTTAGATTCCAGACTGAAGTGGGGAGGACCATTAGCTGTTCAACAGTTGTGTGCTATTGGTGTCCCTCTTTTGCTTATTGGCTTATTAAGCATTGATGGCACCAATGCTTCTCATGGAGCTGAGTGCTCAAATGATACAGTTGGATTATCCCCTACAGGTGTTATATGGACAATTTCATCAATATGTCAATGCCTCTCTGGTGGTGCTTCTACTTTTCGTCAGATATTGATTAGGAATGAACATATCAAGCTCTTTTCTAACTTGATATGTGATGCTCATCTGAAGTTGATAAACAGATGGATTGGACCTGGTGGAGGGAGAGCAGGAGTTAGGGATCTAATTAATGCAATAATAGATCTCTTAGCATTTCCATTTGTTGCTCTACAAAATGTGCCTGGCTTGCCGGCTGCCACAACATCGATCAACAGTGGATTTCTTCTCAACATGGGCTCTCCTTGTCATAAAGTATGCATGGAAGATAAAGCCATAATTAAAGCAATAGAAGATGACATGGGAAAATACATCAAGATCCTTGTTGAGGTTAAATTTTTCATCAGTTTTTTCTTTTGTCATTTATTTTGTAGATTTGGAAGATCTTCCAATTAAAACGACATTGTTTCTTATCAACCTAGCATGGTAAAATGAGATGCTTTTACAGCCCCTTTTCCTGAGGAGTCTTATAGCTGATGACAGCTTGTTTACTCTCCCTGGCATCAATGACTATTTTGTGATTAAAATCCATTTGTTGGGCTTTCTTTCAATTACTATTGTTGGTGAATTGCTTTAATTGTCTAATACTGTTTGCAGTATTTAGAATTTGTTATTAGTTTATTATACATTTATTTGCCATATCAAGATGTATTATATCCTCGTCTTATCCTTATCAAATGTTTTCAAGTTTTCAGGTTGGAGTTCCTGGTACTATCCTGCGATGCTTACATAATATGGAGTTGAAGGAGTTGGGTAGGCCTGTTGCCTTTCTTGCTAAAATGGTCAGTCATCGCCCTTTGGCATTTCAACTTGTGAGCCAAGGCCTTCTAGATCCAAATCGGATGAGAAGGTTTTTCGATGGTTCAGTCCCAAAAGAGGTCACACTAGATGCCCTCATGATAGTTTCTGATCTTGCTCGTATGGACAAGGTAAGATTCTTTCTCATTGAATGCTTTCCCATGATCAAAACAAATATCAGTTCTGTCTTTTCCAGTTTACATGACAATGGTGGGTATGCACAAGTTGAACAAAGCAGATAAATGGAGACATTCTGTGCTCTAAAGTTGTGTTGATATGTGCTTTTGTGCGTATAGATATGTGTTAAAAAACCGTATTTTTCATTGAATTGGAACTTGTTTAGAGATCCTGCTCTGCTCAAACCATCATTATCGTTATTAAATATGATGTATCAACAAATTTATTTAGAAACATAGAAATAGATGTGTAAATTTTTATAATGCTTCACCATCAATCAAGTTAATATATATAAAATAACGATGTAAAATAAAATAACTTTACAATAGGACAAATTTATTTCAATAATTTCTGTTTGATATTGTATATGCAATTATATATAAATTGAAAACTAAAAAATAAATTTTCAATTTATTATTACTTACGTTTTGATATTTGCTTCATGAACTTATCTTTGATAAAAATTAATGTTTACTTCATTCATTTGTGGTTTCGCGTGCATTACATCTTGGAGATGAGGATAATGGCTTTTGTAACGCCAAGGTCACTTTTTCAATTTCTTTTGAATTTTCCGTCCAACCAGTGTATTTATATTATTGGTGTACCATGTCTCAATTTTTGAGATTTATACTGTACTGGACTGTATGTGCTTTTGAATGTTCATTCTTTATGATTCTTTTGAAATCATTTGTATGTCCTGTTTTTCTGTTTTCAGGCGTTCTATGAGTACATTAAAGGTGCTTCTATCTTGGAGTTCTTAAAAGGTTTTCTTTTGCACGATGACCCCAACATCCGCGCCAAAACTTGCAGTGCTATTGGAAATATGTGTCGTCACAGTGCCTACTTTTATAGTTCACTTGTATGTATAAAATAACGTTAAATGCAATATATGCTTATCCTGGTCTTAATCTGTGAAAAAAGTAAAGCAATGTTATCATGCATTAATTAAAAAGCTTTAATTTTGACGCACATCAAATCATGCTTGACATATTCTGCGGACCTCATTTTATAATACAGTTTCTTATTACATCGGATATTGCAGGCAAGACATCAGATTGTAAGTATTCTTATTGATCGATGTGCTGATCCAGACAGACGTACAAGAAAATTTGCTTGCTTTGCTGTAAGCTTTATCAATTCCCTCAGAGTGCTAAAGATTTATTAATTTTGATTTATTATGTCTTTTGCGAAGATTTATTAACTTCTTTTTGTTCAGTGGCTATTTTTGATGTTTCACTCTTCTCTTTTGGTTATTGGCTGCACATCAATGGCAACAACTCTTTTATTCACTTTATTTATGCAATATTTAGAAGCTTAATTGCACTTTTTGGATCTATAGTTTAGTCATCAATATAATTTAGTCTTGCCGATTTCAATATGATCATTTTTACCCACTTATCCTTCTTATTTTAGCTTGAGTAACGTGCTCTCTGGTTTAAATATTGACCGATACTATCACTTGAGTTTTCGGAGGCCGTCAACATTAAATGTAAAATTCTGCCTAATTTTACATGGACATTAGTTGTTGATAGAGCATACTTGCGTCATGTGATTTGTGTAGCCAACCCCATCTAGTTTGATAATACTTATTGTACCACTTGAGTTTTAATTAATGCAACTCAATCCATCTAATTTTTAGATTAAATTAATGAATATTTAAGGATAATATTTAAGAAGGACAATAGTTAAATTCCATTACATCAGAGAGTGAATGTAAATATTATAGTTAGATGTGATTTATTGTCACATGTCAAGTTTGCTATAATCTAAGTGGTTTTCTCATGTATTGCTTGTATTACAGTTTTTCTCACCAGCTGGGAAGAACTTTGATTTATGCTTCCTGTCGATATTTCTCTTTCTCTACAGTATGGACAATATATTTTGAGTTTATGTGCTATCATTTTTTTTTTTTTCCTATGTTATTGGAGGAAAATTATTACCTTGATTGAAAGTTGAAACTAGAGGGACTATGTTTTACGCTTCTAACAGTGAAGAGTCCTGTTTGTGTTCAACGGGGAAATGCATCTGGCATGTCATGAATTTTTCTAATCCTGCTTTTGTAGCAGTTGGCTTGTTGGTAGATCTAATTTTTTTCCTTCACCCTGCCCTCAGATCGGAAACGCAGCCTACCACAATGACATGCTATATGAAGAGCTGAGAAGATCCATTCCTCAATTGGCAAATTTGCTGTTGATGGCAGAAGAGGACAAGACTAAAGCAAATGCGGCAGGCGCACTTAGCAATCTGGTTCGCAACTCTGACAGGCTATGTGAAGATATTGTATCCAAAGGAGCAATTCAGGTTTGTAGCATGCTAGCTTAAAATATTAGGAGTACGCAAGTGTTATGTCAAATCTCTGCATGTATAACTCAGACAACTAAACAGGACTATCCTAATCTATTTCGGTGACTTTAATTGTTCGCATTGAATAGTTGATATTAAAACATGGGCCTTCCAGGAGCATCCCTCGAGCTAGGTTTTCTGGCCTATGGCCCTGCATGAGGTAGGCCCAGTGGCTCTCAGGCCAGGCCAGGGATTTATAGCAGGTCTCAAATGGACCAATTAGAAGAATGTAAAAACAAATGCCCCTGAAAAATGTCATTTTTCTCCCATCTTCAGTCATCCAACAGCCTCAAAAGAGGGGAAAGGAATGACCTTATCTAGTAGAGCACCACCATTGAAGCCCAGGATCAGCATGAAAAATGCCAAATGAACCTCATTTGCATCAAAATTCAAGTACTAATCCTCTTGGGCGTTGGGTTGCGCCAGATTTTCCACTTTTGGTTCTTTTCAAATTTTTGTAGCTCAGCCCGAAGTGACAGGGTTGGAACAGGTTTGCTAAGTCAACCAAGCAAGCTTATGCACACATCTAGTTTACATGAACTCTCACCAAAAGGGGGGGGGGGAAGAAGAGTTTGCTTGTAGAACTGTTCCAGACTCTTGGGTAAAATATGATTCATGGGTCTTTATTTAAGAACTTGCGCTTTTGATTTGAATGATCATTGACATGATATTAGAGCTTCCAAACCAAGTGATCAGAAGTTGAATATTTGATGCTCTAGTTTTGCATAACATTTACATACGTATAATATACATACGTAAATATATAACCTCCAATGATTGACATCATATTAGAGCTTCCAAACCAAGTGATCAGAAGTTGAATCTTTGATGCTCTAGTTTTGCATAACATTTACATACGTATAATATACATACGTAAATATATAACCTCCAAGCCAAGGGAGCATAAGTTTATTACGTGATACTCTAATCTTTGGTTTCATATGGGCACACAAACATGCAGGGTGTCTTGCTACATTTACAAGTCATGAGTAACGTGGTTCTGTTTCAAGTGACACGTTTCATGAGTTCTCTTCTCCCCTAACCTCCTCTTTAAGTTCGAATGTTCTGCGCAAATACTTCATGGGATTCGCTACTATTTGGTCTTCACGTATATACGTTATGGGGAGTTACATTACTTTTAAGTCATAACTAAGGCAATTTTGTTTTGAGTTGGGTGCTGCTTCATGACTTTTTGCCTTAAATTTGGATTTGAATGTTACTACTTGGGCAAGAGTGTCTGCATTTCGGTCACACTTCAAGCACAAATTGTGTGAGGAGCATGGTACATATTGTAATGAAGTTTATTCCTTGCCTCTAGCTTGACAGCTTACCCATTTTTAGGTGAATGGATCCTTGGCTTCACGGATTACTATCAGCTGTATTTGTAATGTGATTTTGGTTTTTTCTTGTTTCCAGGCCCTCCTGAAGCTAATTTCAGATTGTTCGCTTACAGCATTGAATCCAAGCAGAAATGATTCGATAAGTGAGTCCCCTTTAAAAATAGCTCTCTTTTCCTTGGGAAAAATGTGTGCCCACCAACCCTGCAGACACTTCCTCCGTTCATCACCATTGTTTCCCGTTGTTGGAAGGCTTCAACAATGCCCTGAATCATCAATTGCCAAGTATGCCTCTGTAATTGTCAGCAAAGTTGCTGAAGTTTGATGGTCAAAATGCCGGTTTGACCACATGCCACCACGATAAGCTTCCCCTCCATGGATGTCATTCTACTTTTTCTAAAATGTTTTATAAAGTTGAGGAGAAAATGTAAGATAGGTGACTAGTATTAGTAAAACTGGTATGTGATAATAAATTTATGTTTGTACTTGAAATGGACTGTATAGTAGCTGATGTATATAATGTGTCAGCTATGTCCATTTTTATATATCTATTCCATGTATAATAAAAAAATTTTAACGAGCCACCGCTTATTTTCAAATACGTGAAATGAGACCTTTAGTAGTCAATATCATAATCGTAGTCTTTTGATCACGAACTACTTTCATGAATGAAAATGGGTAAACACTTACTCCTTCCATCTCTTATAAGAAAAAACTATCAAAATTATGCGGTTCAAACTAGGATAAAAATACCAGTTTACTCATTTTATTTTTCATATGCCTTTAGCATCTCAATTTTTTTAATTGTGCAATTTTACTCATGATCTTTTTTTTTTTTGGGTAATTTTATCCCTCAATAAAATTGTACTCAAAGATCAGGGATGAAATGGCATCCAAAAAAATAAGATCAAGGGTAAAATTATACTCTAAATAATGATCAAGATAAAATTGCATCACTAAAAAGATTAGAGTGTTGAGTATGTCTGAGAAATAATATTAGGATAAATTTGCACATTTGTCCTTCAAAATATTAGTTAAATTTAGTTCAAATATGAATTATACATATTTTTCTATTATACTCTTATTTGTAAAGAGAATGCATGAGAGATAATAAGTGAAAAATTATTGTAGAGTGGTAATAAGTAACATATATTCAATGGGAGTAAAAATGAAAAGACAATTTTGAAGTTTCAAACAAAAAGAATTTATTTTTTATATTTAGGGACATCACTATGAAAAAATTGTTCATTCTTTCCAACTAAGCACACTCACCTCCTCTTGTCAAAAAATCCCCAACCAAACACTACTTATAATGTTTTTTTTTATTGGAGATAATCTTGTTCAAGATACTATCGAATATTAAATGTAAATATTTTTTTTAATAGAAATTTGAATCTTAATTAGTTATGTGGTGAGAATTAACTATTTTTATCATCCTAACGCCGTTGGCTGCCTGCAGCATTTTACTGGGCCAACATGGTGGATCAGTTTGGGTAGTCGGAGGCCGAGGATATATCCTCTCCGAGTAAGCCAGTATGCTACAAATGTTGGATTCAGCTTCGGCCCAAGCCTAATTAGGAGTGGTGCTGTTCAGGCCCAAAGCATTGTTACCAAACAACCCAATGTTTTATTTGAACTTTATAATTTATAATTGCATTTGTGGGGCTTTAATTTTTTATATATTTGAGACGTGACCTTTTTTTAAAAGAAAAAATAACATTCATGAACACTGAATTGTTGGCCATTCAGGAAAAAAAAGAATTACTGGCCATTATCAAGGTTTTGCACCGTTGTGTAACAGAGTGAATAAATAGTTCAACAAAAAGTACTTCTTCTTCATTTAGCCATTTGAAATTTATATTCTGATATTCTATTCATTCAGATTTCAGAGGATCCCTATATTAATCACATTTATTTATTTATGTCAGCATATTCATTACATTAGTTTTGTTAATAAATAGTTGAGCAGATCTAAATTTTTTGGATGATATCAATTTAGTTATATAATACTACATCCGATTCTTAATATAAAGCCTTGTTTGACTTTTACTTTGACCTTAATTATAAGACTCCCAATTCACTTTGTCTATCATATTTATACATTCTTTTTCAAGATAGTCTTTTTAATAACAGTAGTTTTAGCCAACAAACTTGATTAGCAAGGATATTTTAAGAAACATAACACCTATTTATTACAAATAACTAACTTAACTTATTTTCTTAATCTTCTCAAATTAGCCAATTAGTTCTACTAATTAAGACTAGAGATAGTATGATAAAAATCTTCATAAAATGTTGTTCATGAAATAATATCACTGGACAAAAGTGCTATTTCCACAAATTGGAAAGAGTGTGGAGGAGAGCAAAGGTTGCCGAACTCAGTGCTATGCCATAAATAGACTCACTTTTTTTGTGGGTTCTAAACCATCTCATAGAATTTCATTTGCCTATTTTCTTCTTTCTTAGCAATTCTATCTCTTTTATATTTCATTCCTCCTAGATCCTCATTCAATTTAGCTATCAAATTAAGGAACCAAAAAAAAAATGCACAGATCGGCAAGTTGGAATCGATACTCTGAAGATTATTTCAAACAATTCACAACGTATCAATCGTTAGGAGGGCTTAAATTTTCATCGTCAGCAATAGATGACACCAATCTACCGGTATATGATCCCGTTGTAGAGTTAACGAAGAAGGAAAAAGCTCGCATTAAGTTTGCTGAGAATATAGTTCACGTTATTCCTCTTGTGCTGTTTGCTTGTGCCATCATTCTTTGGCTTTTCTCCAATCCAGGTTTCATTACTTTTAACTCTACGTTGTCTTGAAATTTTAAGTGATGTTTCATTTGATTGAAATGATCTATAACTCTTTCTCCCTAATCGAAATTAAATTTTGAGATTGAGATAAGTGTTTTTATTTGCAAAAAAAAAAAAAAAAAGAAACGTGAATATTTCAAAAACAATTACCCTCACTAATCAGTAAAAACAAAACCAAACAAAATACTCTTCCGGTCTTAAATATAAGACCCATATTGTAATGTAAATTACATTACAAAATGAGTCTTATATTTATGATCGGAGGAATACAACATTACTTGTCTTGCTCTTGCCTAATAAAAGTGCACTTTTCAATAATAATATGTAATTGAAGGTAGAATTGGAATTAAATGTTTTTTTTCCCTTGTAATTAGATATGAATATAAATATAAAGAATTCGATTGGTCATATATATTGTTGAATCCGACATTGTTCAACTGTTTGCTGAATAGATGTGGCATTTAAGGGAGATTCATTTGGGCCTGAAATTGAGAGACTGACCATTGACGGTGAAATCGAGCATCATAGCAATGTTCTCAAATGGGCATCCTAAATCCAAGAGAAGCCAATTTTGCAGAGTTGAGGAAGTTTCTGTAAAATCAAAGTCAATTTTGTGAATGATGTTAAAATTTGATTAACACTATGGCAAAACGGCATCTGCCTCGTAAATCTAACAATCTTTTTTTTTTTTTGATGGTCTTGTATATATGATTATTTTTGGAAGAACTTCATAATTGCAAAGTATGACCTTTTCGGTTTTGATATTGGACCAATTCATAGTGACATAATCAGTTGTTTAAAGTTTAATACATTTTCATGTATCAATAACCCACCAATGGTAATATGTGGTTGTTGCATGAATTGGGCGTTTTGTTGTATATTATAAATAGGAAGTTTTTTCGTTGGACAAATTTCTCTGCACCCCCAGTGCATCCATTTTAATCGCATTTGTCTTTAAAGAATCCTGAAATTTCATTCTACTCTCAGTGATCAAAATAAAATTTAATTTTTGTGGGTGGAAAGACATTAGCGTCTTTGATATTCTTTAAGGAAAAAAAAAAAAATCAACCATCATTGCCTACAGGAGTTCTGACCATTGGCATTTAGCTGGAAGTCCAACCAGTAAAAAATAATTTGCAACTATAATTAGTAAATGTATAACAATACATAATGAAATTTACAACTCCCGTTTGCCATATTTTCATCATAATTTACAGCTACAATTAGCACATTTACAATAACAAGTAAATTTACAAATCATGTTTCCCCTATTCTCATCTTAATTTGCAATTATAATTAACAAATTTATAATAACACATACAAGAGGATGCAAAAATATATGAGAAACGAGAGTTGTAAATTTGGATGAGAATATGAAAAATGGGAATTGTTAATTTCCTTACGTGGTATTATAAATTTGCTAATTGTAACTGTAAATTAAGATGAGAAAATGTTATCTCCTTATTTGGATGAAGGAGAAAAATAGAAAGAAAATAAAATGAGTAAATATTTAAATAACTAAAATACCCTTACTCCCATATCAAAATATATTATGTTTAAAATTAAATTAAATATCATAATAAAAATATTAAAACAATCAAATAATTCAAAATAAATATAATGGAAAAAGATATATTATCATGTTACTATATTTAAAAATCAAATAATTCGAAAATTTTATTTTTCAGAATTTTTTTTGAAATTAAATACAATAAAATAAAATAAATAAAATATACTATATTCGATTTTTAATATAAGAATTAGTTGGAGATTTGACTTGGTTTGAAATATAATATCTTAATTTAGTTTGTTTTTTATATTTATTTATTTAGTTTTTTCAAAGTAACCCATACGTTAATTATACATGTTAAATGTTTCATGATAGAATAATTCTAACGCATATGATTAACAAATAGATTTTAAGAAAGACAATAGAGGTAGTATTATTTAAAATTATTATTAAATGATAAAAATTTATTATAAAAGTTGAAAGAGATGAAAAAATTGAAAATACTACTTCTGATTCTTAATATAAGAGTTAACTGATTAATTTGAGTATACTAAAAAAATTAGTTAAGTTGGTTATTTGTAATAAATAGGTATTATCTTATGTAAAACACCTTCGTTAATCATATGTATTAATCAGAATTACTATTTGATGAAACATTTAACATGTACAACTAATGACTACTTTAGAAAAATAGAAAAATATGAGAGATAAAATAGATGGGGATCTTATATTTAGAATTAGATTAAATATCAAACTAGCTCTTATATTAAACACTTGAAGTTGTGTGTTTGTGTGTGTATATATATAGGCAAAATATATACGTGTGCGGATGGCAAAAAAATGTGTGTGTAATTCGTGCAAAGTCCGTAATAAACTTAAAAAGAATGGCCATAAATAAACTTAAAAAGAAAAATTTGTGTCAAATGTCTATTGAACTATATTTAAGAAGCTAATTCGCCTAAGATAAGGAAGGGCACACGAAATACTTATAATTTCCTTTCAATACCTGAAGAGAAAAGTTGAGGACAAGCATGAGATGAGTTCCACATTTCTTTCCTCCTATTTTTCTCCTAAAAAAACTCATTTATTCTCTCATTTTTCAGTGAGTCAAGCAAAGATATGATTTTTTTTTTGGCCAACAAGGTGTGAACATTAAAGTTTGGTAGTTAAAATAAAGTGAATGTATTTTATCAAAAAAATAAAATAAAGCAAAGAAACGGAAGATGAATTTTAAATTTTCATAATTGTGTTCAGATTCTCACACACCATACAAGGCACGAGAATGAATGAAAGGACAAGGGGGAAAAAAACTTTATCTATAATTTTTTTTAATAGATCATGTATGAAATTTCAGCAATATATTTAATAGAAAAATTATTTTTTGCCAACAATTTAATAGAGAAATTAGCATTTTCAAAATCTCCCAAAACATGAGAGATCAATTTTTTTTTTTGGTTACAAGAGGCAGGATCGAACCCGCACGCACACACTCCCACACACACACATGCATACCACTAGGCCAAACAGCCGATGATATGAGAGATCAAATTTGGATGCACAACAGAGTTGACACAAACTTTTGCCAAAAAAATAAAAACATAATCAACATAAGTAATATATAAAGGTAAAATACATTACTCTTTACACATATTAATGCTGTATTTAATTAGTGACCATATATGTCTGTATTTAGCTGATAAATATTTAGAGATAAAATAAAATATTAACCAAAAATGAGCTCGAGACACTTGAGACCAAAATCTACATCTCTTGATGTCCAAATCTGCATCTATACGTATACTAATATAAAGTAAAGAAATGCCAATAAATACCACATAGCTGGCAAAAAAAAACAATAAATATCGTTTATTTAAGAAATATGAACGTTAGAATTTCAGGTAAAAAAGTAACGTTAAAACGGGGCTTCTTTTGGCTTAGATTGATGAGCACGCAACCTCAATACTCCAGGAGCCATTCTCTTTATTTTTTCACTTTTCTTTTCCTTTGCCAAGGCACAACGGCACCTTAAATAAACAAAATTCATGCTCAATTTTGAATGTACAAAAGGCCAATGACATATTGACACGCTTTCCCTCGACGCTGCTTGTATAAAAGGCCAAATGACCGCTTTCTTTCTTGTGCCGCGCTTAATCGCACTCTCTGCTTTTCCTCCTTCTCCCTGACTGTAACCGTCTCTGGATTCTTCGATTGGAACCGCTTCAACGGCCTAGCAAATGACTCTGATGACTCCTCCGCCACTAGATGTGATTACGAACTTCTTTCTTTCTTCTCTCTGTTTTTGGCTTTTCTTCTGTAGCTTTTAATTCAATTCTAGAGCAATCGATAATGGAAGTGGTTTTGCTGTGCATGTTGCTTTTTATGCTTTGAAATCGACCGTAATTACTACTTTTCTCTCCACTGTTTCGCTTTGTTACTAGGATTTTCGGTCACTGGATGCGGTTTACCAATTTGACTTTGTTTTCTACAACAGCAGGAGGACGATGAGACACTTGGTCCCCGCTCCGACTTTCCAGCGGGTCCTCGACCTGTTCAAGGTAAATTGGATTTCCGGATGTCACTTACAGGTTGCCATGTGGAAGATCAGTCACTGAATGTGTATGATGATAATACTTAGCGCGAAAGTTATCTCCCTTACTGTTATCAGATCATACGTATTTTTATGGCAGTTGGTTTAGTTTTGGTCAACTGTGCTTAATGTAAAGTGAGCGGTAGGTTTGATGAACAAAATAATGTTCATTTTGTTGTTCTTCTGTTGGCCGGTTATCTTGCATATGTTGCGGGAGTGCTCGGGTTGCTGAGGCTGTTATTCGGGTTGGAATGTGGATATTACGCTGCGCGGTTATTCTGGGGGCCTTGTCTTGTTTATTCGGTCCATTTAAAATGATGAAGATTTAGTACCTTTTCTTTTGTTTTATAAATGGCATAATGGTATGTATAACTGGTTGAGTTAGTTATCTTTAATGGATCCACATCTTTATGTTTCGCCTTGTAGTTGTCCAAGCGGAAAACATTGGTGCAGTGGATGCTCCTGCGGTAGTGGATGACTCACCATCAGGGAGATTCACCTGGTCCATTTACAATTTTTCCAGGCTTACAAGAAAACCCATATATTCTGACATTTTCTGCGTGGGGGGTTACAAATGGTACATTGATATTTGCCAATATTATTTTTGGGTGAATTAAAATCTTCCAGTATACATTTTTTGTTGAATTTCTATTTGCCAATTAATGTTTATTAGTTGTTAATATGGGTACTGATATAAATGCTAAATTATGCTGGTCTCGACTGATTTTGATCGCCATTAAATCGCAACGACAGGCAGATACTTATCTTCCCAAAAGGGAACAATATTGATCATTTGTCAATGTATCTGGATGTTGCGGATTCGTTGACATTGCAATATGGGTGGAGTATATATGCTCAGTTCAGCTTGACCATTGTTAGTCAAATTCATAACATAGACTCAATCCGCAAAGGTACTTTCCAATGTCTTCATATTGTATGTATAATATAAGAAACGGAGTTACATTGGTGGGGCTTTTCATGTATGAAGGAGAGCATTCGGCACTTCTCTTTGTATACACTGCAATATACTGAATTGAAGTGGAGCTCATGAACTCAAATGTTATACTTCTCATCTTGTATGCTTTGGTTAATCTAGCATTGCCAATTGATGCTGCTAGATGGCCAAACATTTCAGTCTTATCTGCTGCTGAACCCACCCTTTTTATATTTCTTATTAGATTTTGCTTAGCTGTTAATTATATTTCTTATTATCTTAATCTGAATCGAAACTATACTTCAAATAAATCTGATTCAGTCTACTTCAGATAGATGAGTATGGCAGAGTCAGTGGGCTTTAGGCTCAATGGCTAGAGTCGTCAACATTTATAAAAACAATTTATCAGAAAATTCTCTTGTGCAGTCAGTAAACAATTTGTTTTGATGGTTGATTTACTAATTAAAATGCAAGCATTTAAAATAATTATTTACAGTTATGTTCATGGCGGCTGTTACTGTAAAAAGTGTGGTAGTGAAACTATTGTGAAGATAACACTAGTTGGAGATTTAAGTGGTCGTGTCAACTGATGTGATAGCACTGAGGTTTACCAGTTGCATTCCTTAAAAAGTATGCATTTTAATTTTCTTTTGTTTTCATTTTTTAATTATGCTCTGAGTGGGATAAGATTTGAATTATATTGATTTTATTTCTCAAGTGAATTGTGTCATACGTTGATGTGGATCCCAAATGCTCCTAAGAGTTGCTTCTTTGCTTGTAAGGTAAAAGTAGTATTTTTTCTCTCATGCAAAATATATTTTATCCTTACTGTGATAGCATAATTGTTTATTCAAGCATATGATGTCCAAAAGCATGAATAGGTAGGAAAATTTTTATTACGTGACAAGATAGGAAGTTTTCTTGAGATGGCATAATTTTTCGTTAGTCTTATTAAGCTATCACCAAAAGAAGGCACCTAGATGCTTGTGGCTCCCTTCTTATCCTCTTATTGTGCTTTAACATGATATGACTACTCTTTTTCATTGCAGAAACACAACACCAGTTCAATGCACGTGAGAGTGATTGGGGTTTTACTAGATTTATGCCTCTTGCTGAATTGTATGATCCTGGTAGAGGTTATCTTGTAAATGATACATGTATAGTTGAGGCTGATGTTTCTGTACGGACAGAGGTTGATTACTGTTCTCATGACTCAAAAAAAGAAACTGGTTATGTTGGACTGAAAAACCAAGGAGCTACCTGTTACATGAATTCTCTACTTCAGACATTGTACCATATTTCTTATTTCAGAAAGGTCAGTTGCCGTGTTATAAACCATGTGTTTCTATGTAGAAGGAAGCAGCTCATAAGCCTTTGTTTGTTTCAGGCTGTGTACCATATGCCTACAACTGAGAATGATTTGCCTACAGGGAGCATACCTTTGGCATTACAGAGTTTATTTTACAAGTTGCAGTATGGTGACACTAGTGTAGCAACGGAGGAGTTGACGAAGTCTTTTGGATGGGATACACACGATTCATTTATGCAGCATGATGTCCAAGAGCTTAACAGGGTTCTCTGTGAAAAGCTTGAAGATAAAATGAAGGTACATGATTTTTTTTAATGGAAACTGTTTTCAGTCATGTTGTAAAGACAAGGTAGTTTTTCTCCTTTTAGACACATGAATATTTATATTGATGTCTTGGAGATCAATGCGTTGGACTTTCCTACTGGCATAGGGAACTGCTGTTGAAGGCACCATAGAGCAGTTATTTGAAGGCCACCATATGAACTATATCAAATGCATCGATGTGGACTATAGGTCAACAAGGAAAGAATCATTTTATGGTATGCATTCTAGGAAGATGTTGCTTACATCATTATTTTATGCACTACTAATTCTTATGAAATTTGGGATATTAAATTGTAGATCTTCAGCTTGATGTAAAAGGCTGTCGAGATGTCTATGCTTCGTTTGACAAGTATGTGGAAGAGGAGCGGCTTGAGGGTGATAACAAGTATCATGCAGAACAGTATGGTCTACAGGTAAAATATAACTGAATTTATCCCTATGATTGCCAATCTAGCTTCTTTCTTTTGGATTAGTTATGGTTGATACTCTCGATAATAATCTTTCTTTCTTGCTATTCTGATATTCTTACTGCTTGAAGTACTGATTTTTGATTTCCCTGTTGTCATTAGTGCTGTAATTGTTCATGTTTTGTCATTACTAAGATTTCACTTTCAGGATGCCAAGAAAGGTGTGTTGTTCATTGATTTTCCACCTGTCCTTCAACTTCAGTTAAAGCGATTTGAGTATGATTATATGCGAGACACTATGGTAAAGGTCAGTTTTAATTCAAGATCAAATCCTCTCCCTTTTTGTATATAGTCAAACTAAAAAAAAAAGAATAATGAACTTTCTTTGTTTAGTTTTTTCTGTAGCACCAGATGTAGTTGCTTCATAATTTTGTGTAAGGTAACGGTAATAAAAGTGTAATCATGGCCTTGACGCCTCTTGAGTTATCCTATATTTTGCTTGAAGTCATAACTAAACTATTCACAACCTTTATTTTTAGGGAAAACGTGTTTTGATTCTTGATACTGAATGACTGAGTGGTTTTTCCTTATGCTCATTGGGCGGAAGAGTTTCTTTTAAGAATGATTTTATTCATATGCTTCATTAAGAGTTTGGTTGGCAATCGAAACTTAGGATTGGTGGTCCAAGGATGAGGCTTTCATATCTGGTTTGGTTCATTAAGACTTACGAGTTGGAAGGGGAGGACTCATATCAGACTGGTTGGGGATCTTAGCTTTATTGTGTAGGAAGTCCCTTAAGTTTAGTTGTGAGCTATATGAAAAAAAAAATTGCTTTTTCCCTCTTAAAAACAGCACTTATAAGGAATTTCAAGATGTTCATGCTTTTAAAAATAATTGAAAGCTAGTAAGGTTTCTGATTAATTCGAGAATGCCTTTGAATATTTTGAGAAGTGCTTTTAACTAAAAAATACTTTTTATTATTGTAACCAAATGCAGAATGACCACTTTTTCATGAAAATCTCCACACAATGAATTGCCTAGTAGGCTGCCTATACAGAAAGATGGTATCGTATTCTTATTGCAAGGCTGGTCAGACGTTTTGAGGATACTAGGTTAGGTTGGCTATTTAAGGCTCTTGGCCATTTGGCTTACTTTCATCCTTCTTGGAGTATCATTAAGATTGATGTTATGATGGTTGGGTTTAGTTTTCTTGCTTTTTCCTTTTATTGTTCTTGATTGTAATTTGATAGTAAGAGTTGGGAGAGAGAGAAAGAGAGATAGAATACTGTGGAATTCATAAGAAGATAGCTTATGCTGCATTATATTTATAGTAAGAAAAAGTACAAAAAGTATTCCATCTCTTTGAGAGTATAGTTCTGCTTATTTCCAACGGTAATATGGGTTTTAGCATAAATTGTCCACAGCTTTCCAATCCTCTGCGAGCTTAATGTTAACTATGTGCTTGGCTTATTTTTAATAACTCTTTTTTTATTCTTTTTATGTTGGTTCAAACACAAGGATGAGAAACTCATAATTTGCTGTTTATTGTTGTCCAATTGTTGGTTTGAAAGTAATAGGTGGATCTTTGGATTGAAGATTTGGTGCTGATGGTTTTACCCCGTTTCCTAGCGAATTTTTTTCCTTTCTATTTATTTGGTGCCTTTTGATAAATTTGTCTTCTCAAACGGAAAATGAGGGTAAATATCTGTGTAGCTGCTCTTCTTTTTCCCTTCCCTGAAGTGTTCCTAATTCTTGTTGATGAAGTGATTTTTGTTTTTAATGACTTGAAGCAAACTGTACAGTTGGCTTCTTGGATTTACAGTGGTTTTTAGTTGCTTGTTTAGATGCTATTCTTGGCTCTAGATATTGCCCACATTGTGCTTTATTCTTTTTTCTTTATGATTTTCTTTTTGCCCACATTGTGCTTTATTCTTTCTTCTGTATGATTTTGTTTTCATTTGGGTGCCCAGAATTGGAATCACTGATAGTTTGATTGCCAACAGATCAATGACCATTATGAGTTCCCCTTGCATCTGGATCTTGATAGGGATAATGGCAAATATTTATCTCCTGAAGCAAACAGAAGTATTCGGAACCTTTACACCCTTCACAGGTATGATGATTACGTCTCATTGATGATTGCATGTAAATAAATGCATCGTTTTCCATATTGACAAACTATGTAGCTTAGCTCTTTGTTAGACTTGAAAACCGTTTTTACACATCCATCTCTAATGGATGAGTTATTGGAGCTGATTTGCTGGAATTAGAGAGGCAGGTCATGAACTTTAGATGTAGTCACATGAACCTCTCTTTTAGATGAATTGAGTATCCTTGAAGATGCTGTTTCAATCACATTTCCATTTTCAATTTGAAAATAATTTTTTGCCAATTTCTGTTATTGTCAGCATCCATCTCAAATATTCTGGGAAATATTTTTGTTATTTTAACATCAGGAAGAATTTACTACTTTGCCACGTGTTTCTTTGTCACATGCAACAACATAGTCAATTAATCAATCATCCATTGTATATTCCATGAAACAAGTGTGAAGCAATTAATAGTTGATATATATGAAGTGTATATTGGTCCTCCCTCATGCAATTGCTGGGAAAGGTAAGTGCAGTGGGCATGCGGATTGGCAAGGAGCAACCCAGATCAAAGTTGTTGAGCCCTAACAAATTTTGTATTGGTATTCACCTGGATCTGTAGATGGGCCTTGCCAAACCAAGGAAAGCTGGATGGAGACTGATGTTACCTTCATAACAATGTTGCTTTTCAGTACCATTTGCAACGTAAATACTTAGTTGTGTCACGCTTTGCAAACCTTACTAAATAGATTTAACCGATTGAGTTCATTTAGTATCAGTAGGGTTGTCCAGAAGTCTGGTTGGCTCAGCAAACCTGCTCCAACCTGGTCATTTTGGGTTGAGTCAAAAACTGAAAAGGGCCAAAAGCATCTGGTGCAACCTTGCCCACTCTGGGAGCTAGGATTTGAATTTTGATGCAAATGATGCTTATTTAGCATTTTTTATGCTAATCCTTGGCTCCAGTGGTTTTGGTCTGCTTCATAAGGTTATCTTTTTCCTCATATGAGAATTTTGGACACTGACAACAGGACAATGACATTTTCAGGGGTATTTTTATAACCTCCCCCCCCCCCCCAAAAAAAATTAGTCCATTCTTGACCTGCTATTTCCCCTGGTCCAGCCTGATGGCCACTGGTTCTAACCCATTTAGGGCCATGGGCCAGGAAATCTGGCTCAAGGGGTTCTACAGGCAGGTCCATTTGCACCATTAATTGCTGGCTTTGGAAGGGCATGGGTGTGTTTTGTGAAAAATTGCCGATTGTGAAGAGGAATATGGTAAGGAGAAGGTTTATGGTTTTCTTTGTTTTTTTCCTGAACATATCCTGGGGTTTTTTTGGAGGACAATGTTATAAAGGCTTTTAATGATCTTTTCTCTGATAGTGAAACTATTGCCGACGCAGGGTCTACCTTCATGACTCTTGTTCCTATTGAAGACTTACCTATTTGAGTGAGGGACTTGGGACCTAACACCCTCTTAAGAAGTCTCCTTAGTTTAACACTCAGGTAGTATCTTTGAGAATCATAATACTCTCCTAATCCTTCACCACTTCTAGACTTAGCCATGAACACACGATGGATGGGCTTCTCCTTGCCCTTTAAACCCAAAATATAATCTTAGTTCATATTTCTTTTTCTATCCTGTTATTCAGCTAGAAAGCATTGAAACTCTCACTTTCAGCCTATGAACCTAACTTCTGACATCTGAAGAACAACTTGCAGATTCTCTTGGATTCTCCAACTCTTAGACCCTGATTTAGGAGTGTTAGGAACCTCCACCGGCTGATTGTCATGGATGTTGGACATTGAATTTTCCTGACATCAATATTACAAAAAGATCGGTCACCACTGAATAGGGTTTGGCTTGTCGATTCATTTGAGGTTGAACTGTACCTGGCTTCAATTATTCCTCATTCTGGGTTTAAAATGATTTTTTCTAGACTGAGAAAGAACATTACATGCAAAACTTGATAAAGAACAAAAGAAAACAGAGATACCCCCTGAAGAGACCTTGAGAAGAACATCAAAGTGGAGGCATCGGAACTGTCCCGTGTTACTTCAGCTGAAGATGCAGGATTCACATTTAAAAGGGTGACCATTATGTTTGAATCTAGTAAACATAAAGCGGAAATGATTGTGCTCCACAGTTCTCTGGCTCCATATCCTTACTGAAGCCTTGGTACTTTGCTCAAAGAAATGCATCAGGGTCAGAGGATAAACATATTGAAACAAACAAATGCCTCATTAATGGAAGTTGTTCAGTTCTTTGAAATGCCCATTTGTTTATCTGGAAACTATTATGTTTGGATAGTGCCATATGTTTTTCTGTAGATCAAAAGTATTTGTATGATACAATAATTTGGTTGGTTAGTAATGAGTCTTGCATCTTAATGGTTTGGCTTGCATTGGACTGTGTATTATGTTTATGGATCTTGTCAATGTTGTTTGTTTGCAGTGTTTTGGTTCACTCTGGTGGGGTTCATGGAGGACACTATTATGCTTTCATTAGACCAACATTATCAAATCAGTGGTATGTTTTTTGTTCCAGAAAAAATTCCAAATTCAAAATCAGAGCAATTATTTGTGCGTGATACATTATTATCCAATCTTTCTTTGCATTGATCCTACATTAAACATATTTCTACCCTGAATTGTCTCTGATGTCCTGATAAAGCTTACTCCCCTGTACTAAGTAAAAAGAAAAATCTTGTACAGTCCAAGCTTACCACCTTATATTGTATTATAGTATCGAATTGTTAGTATTTTTATCTTGTGATTTACGACTTTCAGATCTCTTGACTTAAGAGATTTGTTAAGGTTTGATGTGACCAGCACCACCATCTTGACTATATGATTTTGCTGAAGTGGGATCTTACAGTGTTCAAGTTGAAATTTTCAAACTCTTGGCTAATCCTATCTAAATGCTCTATTTTGACTACTCTGAGTTTGACTGCTTCTTTTATCTCCCACGGGCATTCTTTTTCTTCTGGAATTGTTACGATTGTCTCTATCGTCTTGTGATCTTATCTTTTGGTGCACTGGAGTTATATGATATTTTGTGAACATTTTTAGAACATTAATTACACTTGAAGATTACAGAATTTAGAAATTTCAAAGGACCAAGGTCTTGTCCTGAATTGATTTTTTTTTTTTAAATTGATTATTTAGTATTCATTTTCATTTTTCGGTACTTTGTTTTTTTTCCTTTTTAAAAATAATCATCTTTTCAACGTTTCCTATTTCAACTTTGATTTTGAATACTAATTTTTATTTTTATTGCTGACGAAAATAAAAATATGAATTGCTGAACAAAAATCATACCAGAGTAGTAAAAATAGTAAAGATGAGTACTGTTATATGGGGAATTAGGGGTTAATTACGTTGCAGGAAGAGCGTAGTTTGGGAATTTAGTCAACATTCTCTATATAAAGGGCTAGCATATATGTTTTCCCTATGTCGGTGAATTTTTTTTTTTTTTTTTTCCGTTTTCCTTTATATTTCCCATTTTACATGCATCAAGTATTGAAAAGAATCAAAGTTAAGTACTAAAAAATCAACTTAGAAAAATCTTAATTCTAACCAAAGACCATGGGTCCATCTTTGGAGTTTCTAAAATCTTCTTGTCCTTAATTGTAGTTAATGTTCTTTGAAAGTTCTCAAATGTCATTTTTCCTACTAACTAATACATCCATACTTAAGTGTTGTTTGGTTCATGCAAAGAATTGAGTTAGATGGATAGAAAATGTTATATGGTAAATCATTATCCACCCAAGAAGGGTTGAAGAAGCCATGACAAGATATCTTATTATTTTTCTTTTCATAGCAAAAAAATTATGTTTTCTATCCTCAGTTGCTAATATATTCTCATCATCACTATCATCACCATTGCTATTACCTTGCCAGCATTGCATTCCTCTAGCTACTGCAGTTGCCACCCCTGCAAGAGCTGGCATCCATTCCACCCATACCATTATGGGGCCATTGTTGCCTCTGCTGCTACCACCACAGCACCACTATGCCAAAACTGTCCTTCTATCCTCTACCTCAACTTTCACCACCATCATTGCCACCACAACTGTCACCAATGTTGTCACCACCATTATCTCTTCTTTCCCCACCCTCATCACCACCACAGCTTCTACTATCTTCGTTATCATGTTAGATAATGAGTATAATCTCTATTGCATTTATAAAATGTTATTCTTCACATTATCAACAAAGCCATGATATTGTCATATATCTTATGCCTTGAAGCAGCCAGTACCAGATAGTATAAAATGATTTATATGTTGGATAGATTATACAGTACTATTTCAAGCATGATTCTGCTTGTTGCTCTAGTGGGGCCTTTAACGTATCTCTATTTTTGTAGTTTCATATTGTATCAAGTTTGAATGTGCAACATGATTTGATTGTTCATAGGTTTAAATTTGATGATGAACGAGTAACAAAAGAAGATATGAAGAGAGCTTTAGAAGAACAATATGGTGGTGAAGAAGAGGTACTACTCTATAAGCAGTGATTTAGCCTCCTTCATTTACATTGGCATGTTATATTTGTTTTAATGAAAATTTTCTTCTAATATTGTCTAATATTGTCCTGTTTCCTTCATTTTTCCTTGTCCTCCACAGCTACCTCATACAAATCCTAGGTTCGATAACTCTTCCTTCAAATTTACAAAGCACTCAAATGCTTACATGCTTGTTTATATACGTGAAAGTGAGAAGGACAAGATCATTTGTAATGTGGATGAGAAGGACATCGCCGAACACCTTAGGGTAAGATATCTGCTGTGCTAATTATGGCATGATTTTTATGTGGTATTTGCATGTAAGCATGGTTAACTTTAGAATCACTATGCAGTTGAGGTTAAACAAAGAACAAAAACAGAGAGAGAAGCAGATGAAGGAAAAGGATGAGGCTCATTTGTACACTATCATGAAGGTTTAAACTTGTAATCTTATCTCCGTTAAAGAATTGTTAGGTTTTGATGTATTGTATATCATGCATGGGCCTTTTGTCTTGGCCTTATTTTGTCTAAACTTTCTGTTGTTGGCCTCAGGTTGCATGTGATGTGGATCTGCATGAACAAATTGGGAAAGATATATTCTTTGATCTTGTGGATCATGATAAAGTGCGAAGTTTTCGTGTTAACAAACAAATGCAATTCACCTCATTTAAGGTATTATTGGACATTTTGTTTTGGCTCACTTTGATTTGTTAGGCCTTTTTTTTTTTTGTTGATCGCCTTCTAGATTTGTGAAGCTCATTATAAAATAAGAAATATTGCAGCTGGGAAGGGTTGCAGAGATACTTGTTGTACTGTGGCAGAGCTGAGGATGGGTGGCTGTGCTTTGTTTGTTTGCAGTTTCCTTTGTATGGATTAATTCCATAGCCTTCGTTTAGGGGGAAAAAAATTGGGCATGACCGCATGTGGAAATATTTCCAGATCTCATGTGATTCCACCTTTATGACCTTCAGCATATTTTGTTGGCTTATTCCTCTTGGAATCTGTGCAGCAGTCAACCCTAATCTCCTCTTAACTGTTGGGCATTTCTTTCCCTTAATGTTTGCTCTGTGTAATTTTTAATTTTTAATGCATTTTTCCGTTTCCAGGAGCATTGACTTTCATGTCTTTTATCTCCCCGATTTATGTTTATTTTTGTTTAGCTGTCGTTTTGTATCGATATTCAATATTCTCTGACTCATGAAAAATTCAGAATATTTTCAGTAATGAATGAATTTCTGACAAAGGTTTTGTCAGGAAGAAGTTGCACGAGAGTTTGGTGTACCTGTTGAGTGTCAACGTTTTTGGTTGTGGGCGAAACGCCAAAACCACACATATAGGCTACATAGACCACTGACACCTGAAGAAGAAGCTCAATCTGTGAGTAATTTTCAGTTTTTTGCCTATTTTCAAATCAAGTTTATCCGTTCTTATATTTCATAAAGCATTTTAGCTATCATATCTTCATGAGTTGACTATTATATATTTTACCCTTCTTCACAATCTTAGTTGTGTGGGATTTTCCTCATATCTGCTTGTGTTTGTACCTTTTAACATAGGTAAAAAGGAATTAATGATCTGTGTCATCTAATTTATTCATTAATATGTTTCAATCGTTCATATTAATGAATATAATTTCAAGAGTCCATTATTATATCATGACCATTTTTTTGGAGAGTATCTTCACGTTGATGTTGGGAATGTGGCGTTAGATCAGTACTGAGACAGGCCAATCTTCTCCTATTATCACTCCAGTAAAAAAAAATAAAAAGAGAAATAAAAGAAAATCTCCTGTTATCAAAGTTCTCTATTTTGTTATATTGTATAGTATTGAATGAATTTTTACCAAGACTCATGAGAAGAAAGAATTCAAAATCTTAACAATATTATTTGTTAGTTGAATTAAAGCTTCTTGATAAAAATAGAATTAAAGCTTCTTGATAAAAAGTGATGTTTACATAATGGGGAATATTCATAATTATCTTGCTGACGTTGATTTGTATAAGCTGTGATGTGACACTGAACATTTGTAGGTGGGACAACTAAGAGAAAATTCTAGCAAGGCTAATAGCGCAGAGCTCAAGTTATTTTTGGAAGCAGAGACGGGGCAGGTAATGTTTTCCTTGATAGTTTCTTCTTCAATTGGTTTATCTGAATTATAGTGGGGTTTTCTTGGGCATGGAATTTACCTTTATGACTTAGTTATAACTGAGACGGACTTATTCATGATGACTCGCAAAATGAATTAGGATTTGAAGCCCATTCCTCCACCAGCAAGGTCTAAAGAGGAGTTCTTACTTTTCTTTAAACTTTATGACCCTGCAGTAGAAGTGCTTCGGTACTTCCTCTCCCTTTCTTCTTTGAGTTTAAACAATGCTTAATTGCTTGGGGTTTCCTAATTTGGTTTCCTCAGGTATGTTGGGAGACTATTTGTGAAGAGCCATGGGAAGCCTGTACATATATTAGCCAAACTAAATGCGATGGTTGGATTTGCTCCTGAAGAAGAAATTGAACTCTTTGAGGCTAGTCAAATTGTTTAACATCTCTTTATATTGTTGTAATATGTACAGCATCAAAAGAACAAGAGAGGGAAAGAGTGCTTATGTTTTATCATGTTCATTCAGGAAGTTAACTTTGAGCCTCATGTTATATGTGAACATATTGACAAGAAGGTCACATTCCGTGTCAGTCAGGTAGAGCAGGTTTTTTTTTATATGAATTGATTGATGTTTTGCTACTCCCTTTTATATTGTTTCTTTGACAATATCAGTATTTTTTTCTGGGCTCACTTATCCATGCATCTTACTATGCCCTCTTATTTTTGGGTAGCTTGAGGATGGAGATATTATATGCTTTCAGAAGGCTTCACAAGTTGGAAAAAGTGAAGAATATCGTTACCCAGATGTTCCTTCATTCTTGGAATATGTGCATAACCGCCAGGTTTGAGCTTTCTGAGGATGGGATATTGTATGAATATTCTTGTATTTCTTTTGTTACGTTCTTATTTTTGTATATTTAATCTTGTATTCTCCCATTTTAAGAAGCATAAAATCAGCAAAACAGGTAACCTTGCCATATCTGATGTGTTAGATATGGGGCTGTGGAATTGTGGGGAAAAATTATATTTTCATTCATTATTGCTAGAGAATGATACTGAAAGAAGCCAACAGAGATAGTAGAGAAACAACACTGAAACTGGATTGAATCACAATAATCTTCCTCCAAGAAGAGACATAAGTTATAACTGTAAGAGAACACACTAAAACAAAGATAAAATGATGAAGAAAGGTAATCTTCGAGAGGCCACTCTCCTCACCAAACTCAATGCAAAATAATCCATGCCTTCCCTTTGAGAAACCAACAACTATTGTAAGTAGAAAAAGTGATTCTCACAAGTCACAGCCCCCATACAACCCTTTCCTTGGTCAGGCCTATAGCAGCCCTAAAGCAACTCTAATGCTTAGTTCCAAAAGAGTAAGAATCTTGAGGTCAATGCCTACCTTGGATCAGAAAGTGGCTTACCTCTTTCTTGTATCTCCCTATTTTAATTTTGACCAGTACAAGCAACTCTATCATTAGCCTCGCCTAAAAGCTTCTGCTTTCCTTTGTCTGGTATGTTCCTATTTTAATTTTGACCAGTAAAAACTAAGGAGCAAAGAAGGGGGGAAGCTGCTTAAATTAAATTAGACTCTTTTATTTGAATAAATTAGACTTTTTATTGATAGAAAAACTAATGATTAGTCATAAAGGAATCGATTTTTGGTTTTAACCTTCAGTTCGTGTTTTAATATCTTACAGTGTTTGTTTTGTGGGATTTCTTATAGCACTTTAATCTGCAGGTTGTACACTTCCGCAATTTGGGGAAACCAAAAGAGGATGAATTCTGTCTTGAGTTGTGAGTATTCTTGTGTAATTTTGATTTTAATTGTTTTTTTCCTATGAACTATAGTGAGTTCCATGCATTTGTGTGGATCCCAAGAAGAGCTCTATCATTTACAAAGTTAAAATTTATGAATATAGTGTGACTCTTTTTATATATTATATTGATATATTGATATGTTTCATTTAAGTACGTCCGGTGGTTCTCATATGTTATATTCTACAACAATATAGGTCAAAGCTTCACAACTATGATGATGTCGTTGAAAGAGTAGCACAACATCTTGACTGGGATGATCCTTCTAAAATCAGGCTAACATCTCATAACTGCTACTCCCAGCAGCCTAAACCGCAGCCTATCAAGTACAGAGGAGCAGAACATTTGTCCGACTTGCTAGTACACTACAATCAGGTTATCATTGTCAATTCCAAGTCTTTAGTGATAGTTTCTGTCATTTTAAAATTGCTTGGAAGAATTTGTTGAGAGGAATTTCAAATGGATCTTTGTTTTCGTTCTCAGACTATGATATGCTAAATCTCGCCATTTGGTTTTGTTTCTAGACTTCTGATATTTTGTATTATGAAGTATTGGATATTCCTCTGCCAGAACTGGAAGGGCTGAAAACTCTTAAAATTGCTTTTCATCATGCTACCACGGATGAAGTGAGTGTTGGTATTAGTTCCCCTCATATATCATGTAGTTGTTATGCAGTCTTTCTATATCAAGTCTTATGCTTCTAACAGATTTATCATTTACCAGATAGTGACTCATACTATTAGATTACCGAAACAGAGCACTGTGGATGATGTACTTAAAGATCTTAAATCGAAGGTAACTTTTACACAAACATAATGTTTGCTTTAATTATAAAGGATGCACTAATTGCAGATAGACGCTTGCAAAAACATGGTATTACTACTTTGAATGGTGCCCTTTCCTATGCTTTCGTCTTATAGATACTTCTTTTACCATGTTAATAGATTGTCATTTTTTTAACTTTTTCCCTATACTTTTGTATAAAAAGAATTTATTGATGACAAGGGGGGCGGGGAAGAGGTCACTTCCTCTGTTTCAAATGTAAGGCATGTTTTTGTAAAATCCTATGTTTCAATATATAAGTCACTTTACAGAGTTCTAACAGCAGTTAGTAACTTTTCACCTAAAATGCCCCTTAGATTATATCAAAATTACTTACCTCCTACCTAACAAATAATTAATGATTGGTAGTATCAAAGAACAATAAAGCTGGAAAAAATTGAAATCTTGACTACCTGACTAGTTTTCTTGAATCTACCATGTCTTGTTAAATCAGTGAAACTACTTACTCGCAAATATGTGGTTTGTTGGCATCACTCCCGATTCTCTTTTTCTCATGTCTGTACGTGTTCCATTATATTCCTAGATCTTGTTCTCAGCTGTTGATAGCTTGATCAGGAATTTTTCTCCCTCTTTCAATTGTATATGTGATTTTTTTTTTTTTTTTGCTTTTGTTATCTGTGGCTTGACTGCTTTTGTTGATTTCTGAGCATTCGACATCTTATTTTGTTGGTGTATTTGTTGTAATTAATTTGTTGATTTGCTGTTCATCCTCTCTTTCATCCTTTGTTGTGATTAATCTGGATTTTCAAAATTATTATGTCTTCTTCAGTCATCCATGTATATAGATATTGTCTGTCTGTCTCTCTCTCTCTCTTTTTTGTGGTCAATTCCCTATTTTACCCTTCTGTTTAACTCATCTGTTTGGCGCACATGTTGATCCTCAGCATGGCTGCTGTTTTGCTCTTGTTGTTCTTTGTTGAAAATGTGTCCCAGTCTCTAATGCTGTTCTGCCAGTGTCCCAAGCCTCTGCCTTTAGCTTTGTTGAATACTCTCCATGCTAGGGTATTAGTTTTGTGGTTAATTGTATTGTGAATTTAGGGTAAAAATTTGTATATTTAAAACAAACTATAGCACCTGTATAAAAAATAATAATAAAATAAGGAAGATAGGAATGTTTTGTAATAAAATAGGAAGATCAAAATTTAAAATATTAAATGGGGTAAGAAATTTTCCTCATAAAAAATAGTGATGATTTATATCTAAAATATTATATGATTATTTGAGTTATTAGTTATATAGTTTATACAACATTTTCTTTAAAATTGTAATGCCTTCCTTCACCAGGGTTTGTGCCTTTTTAGCGCCTCTTGCCTTGGCATTTTATAGGTTTGGTTCCTTGAGGGCATGTTTCGCCTGTCACTATTTGACTCTACTAGTGAGGAATACGTGATGCTTGAGGACTTGTCCCATGACTATCTCGTCCCAAGCATTGTGATCATCTCCTCCACCTTGAACCAGGCAAACAACTATGTGGAATGTTGAACAAAAGAATAGCAGAGATAAGGGCATGGGTTATTTCTGTGGGGAACAGTTAGGGAGATAGAATCTAGAACATGCAACGTAAGAAGAAATTGTGCGTAGTGTTCAAGGTGGAGGAGACAATAACACGTCTATTAAAGATGGGAAATTGTGGGTGGGATGTGCACTCATAATGGGTTGTTCTGGGTCTGATACCAAAATGATAAAATCTAAGATATGTAACGTAAGAAGTTGAGGCTTCTTTACTAGATATTGTGAGCAAGGAAGCTAGGGGAATCTTTAATACAGAGGTAGTGAAATACGTTAAATTGCCTACTGTCTCTGAAGCATTAGTATTTATACTTGAACATGACACATAGATTGGAAAAAAAACTAATATTACATATGACTCAAACATAACTGATAGCAAAACACAACCGGCATTTAAAAACTTCTATTACTACTATGTAATAACTTACCTTTGAATGGCCTTGTCAGGCCTCTGCCCTACTTTCACTTCTTCCACTTCTATTGGGTCACCTATTACTCTATCATTAGCATTGCATTCTTTTCTCATATTTGCCAATTATTTCTGATTTCTGCAGTTGAAGTCTTTTTAACTAATATTTTTGTGCTGTGAAACAGGTTGATTTATCACGTCCTGATGTAGAGCTTAGATTGCTCGAGGTTTTTAGTCATAAAATCTACAAGGTGCGTTATATTATTAAATCAGTAAATTTTCTTTTGAGTTCTACTTTTATTTAACGGTATTTGAACAAGTTCTAGGGGTTGAGCATTGTTGTTCTATTCTGCTCTTGTTATATTTACTTCCAGCATTCAGGCAAAGGATTCCTCTATGATATTTGGTTTGAGGAGTTTGGAGGGGAAGCTGCAGAAATGCTTGGTTTAGACTTTCCCATTTTATGTGTTAATCTATAAGGAGGGAAGGAGAATTCGTCAATTCTTTAAAATCATACTCTTTCATGCTGATTTTCCCAGTTCGAGTGGTTTGGAGGAAAAACCAATAAACTGTTGTATGATACCCCTTTTTTAAGGAATTGAATTATGGTTATATTAAATCATTGTAATTAGCATTTGAGAATATATTATTATTTTTCTTTTTTCCGTATTTTCTTTTCTTCTCATGTTTATTTGAAAGTTTCTAACTGCCAAACAACTACAATGGGAATTGCTGGTGAACCATCCTGATATTTTGTTTTGTACAAAAGCTTTATTTTCAAATCATTTTTAATTTTGTTATTATTTGTGATCACCTGAAATGAGAAATTGGTTAGTATATGAAAATATCTATTAGATATACCATACAGGACAAATAATTTTAATTTTCATCCTTTTATTAATTATTATTTAATTATTATAATAAGTAAATATAATGTTTCAACTTTCAAACAATGGTTATTTAATTATTGTTTAATAATTATGTTACTTGATGCATTTTCAACGTGTTAATGCATTCACCATTTTCCACCACAGTACCCATTTGCTCTAAGCCATGTTCCTGATTTTAATTATTCTTGTTTTTCTGTTCTAATTTTTGTTTTTGAAGGTGTTTCTATTGCTGATTAGTTTCTATTGTAATTTTATGCTCTACCTAATCCAGGTTTTCCTTCTCAACGAGAAGATTGAGAATATTAATGATCAATATTGGACATTAAGAGCTGAGGAGGTAAAGAACTATTATCGTATCCACACAGATTATTTTGGAATGATTGTTTGTATGATGCGCTGTTTAGATAGATGGGTTGATATATGGTAATTGATGACTTGAATTGGTTGATATCGGTGGCCAATTGGCATGCCTCAACCTCTATCAAATATGGGGTAATAATGTAGCTGAATTTTTATTAAATGGTACACTATTATGATTTTTTTATAAATTTTGTGATGAGTGCATTCTTTTTCTCTTTTATGTACTAGAAAAATGAACTTACATGTCTGCATGAATATTAAACTAGGAAGAAAATGAGATGATAAAAATAGATGAAGAAAGTGTACTAGAAAATAATTTTTATTATATGTTTACTTTTAAGTTTATGTTGGGAGGTGAAACAAAGCTGGAGGGCTTAAAGGCCCACAGATACAATGTAATAGTCTTAAGTTTAAGTAGTTCATTATTTAAGTGTATTTTTTTTAATTTTACCTTATTTCTAATTAGTAGATTAGATAAAATATTATCATTATCTAGAATCTTATCCTAATTTATCCAGGTTATTCAGTACCCTACCCTTTTGTTAATCGAATATAATCAAGAAGCTAAGAAACTGATTACTCAGCCGTCCATCAGTTTATGTAATAATATATGTGGATTGTAGATTGGTCATTTTGTTTTGGAAGGGTAACACTTAAAGATGGTTTTATCTAGGCCAGTGTTATATGGGTATCTAACTATATTATTTTCCACTTGATCCCTCAGCCGTGTTTTCCTCTCTCTCTCTCTCTCTCTCTCTCTCTCTCTCTCTCTCTCTCTGTTTTTTTCTTCAACTATCTAATGGTACTATGACTAACATTGTTCTGATGGTTTAAACTTGATCTGCTACTTTGAGAATGAAATTGAAATTTTAAAATTAATTGTTGAAGATTTTTGAGACACAATTGCTTGGTATTATTCATGTTGTGCGCAATACATGTAGCAGATGAGAAGCAATATATCGGACTGAATCTCCTATAATCAAGTGAAAAATAAAATAAAAATATCCTCGTAGTATTTTCCTAATCTGGCCAAATCATACAGGGCCCTAAATGGATTGAATAATCAAAATCAAAATAGTAAACCCTAAAAAATAAAGAGAAGATAGTGCAAAGGGGGTTGGCATTTGGCGCTCTCCAACATGAAGAAACCCTTAAAATTACCCTAATTATAGATTGCTTGATTGTAAATCATTAATCTCACAAGTCGCAGAGCAAACCACACTAATTTGTCAAAACTTTTTGTCAGTGAAATATGCCAAACCGCCTTTTTTTGGGTGGTGAGAGGGGGGATGTTTCAAAATTCATTAAACACCTCTGCTGTAATGGCTTTACTTTTTCACCCTACAGTATTATTCCTCTTCCTTTCAGCTTCTTGCTATGAAGTTTTATTTTTATTTCTCTATGCTCCAGATTCCTGAGGAAGAGAAAAAGCTTGGTCTTCATGATCGGTTGATCCATGTTTGTCATTTCATGAGAGACACAACTCAAAATCAGGTATTGTTAGATAGTACTAATGTTTTGCTGCTATTCCCTGATCACCTCATAAAATCATGCTTTATGTGAGGTGTTAACTTACTACTAATTTATTTGATTTGATTTATCTTGGTCGGGTGGTTTTGGTTTTTTTGTGGTATGATGGGTTAAGCAGCATGTTCAGAACTTTGGAGATCCATTTTTGTTGGTGATTTCTGAGTTTGAGACCTTAGCTGAAGTCAAATTGCGAATACAGAAGAAGTTGCAAGTTCCTGATGAAGAATTTTTTGAGGTATTTTTTTCGTGGAAATTTTTTGATGTCTTTACTTCTAAATGCATGCAAATATACGTTATAAAGTCATCTTTTAATGGCATTCTGATTAAACTAGGTATTGTGTGCACACGTGAGTGCCGCATGTGTGAGTGCCGCATGCGCACACACAAGCGCGCACATTTTATAAGAATGTTGATAGAAAGGTTTATTTGAAGGGAGAAGTTATTGAGATGGAAACGAGGTATTGATAGGAAATATGGAAAAGTTTATTCTTGAAAGAAATGACTTTGCTTTTATGTTTTAAATTGTATTCTTGTGAGTTTTCTTCTTGTGAAGGAAACCCAAATTTGCCTGTGTTTTTAATTTTCATATTGTCAAGTTGATGGCTACATTTCCTTAATGGGAAGGAAAGATTAGTCTCTAAACAGCCAATGATAAATACTGCACACCTGATGAATGATATTTAGAAGCCTTGTGATCTCCCTCCCTCCCTCTCTGTTTCTATATCTCTTGCCCCTAAACCTCCTGTTTGCATTAGAACTAGTGTGTGTTGCATTGGGTATCTTGTTATGAAACGATAACAAAGAAACTTTATTAAATGTGCAGAGTCTCCAATCCCTCTTCACCTTCCACTGGGCACTCCTATTAATACACTTCTGAGAAGAACGCCAGAATGAAGCTTAAAACTCACCTGTATCCCACCCTCTTGCAGAGACCATGACATACCATCATAATTCCTTGGGCTCCCCTCCAAGCTAAACCAGATACACCATAAAACCCTAGAAGATTGTACTGCGGTGCACACAACCAGCCAAGAATTCAAATTATCATATAACCATTTTTTTCTTCTTTCTCTTTCCTGTTCTTCTGTTAATTGTCTTTCTCGAATCCTTTCACTTGAACATCCACATTGATGATGCAAATGCTCGGTTAGTCACATTGATTTCAATACTTTATTCCTTTCCTTTTCTTCTTTCTCTTTTTCTGTTCTTCTTTTAATTGTCTTTCTTGAATCTTTTCACTTGAACGTCCGCATTAATGATGCAAATGCTCTGTTACTTACATTGATTTCAATACTTTTATTCCTTCCTTTGTTAAACTTTTGATCCCTTCAAAATCATCACCAATGAACTATTATCAACTTAAAGCTATTGAGAAATCATCTTACCATGTGCATGGTTCACAAACAAATAGTTTGTAATCAATTTGGTATTGAACATATACAGGGACCTCTCAAATATCAGAATAACAAGTATCATTCTATTAAGTGAGGTTGAGTACATGAATTGCATGATGTCGTTATTTTCTATTTGCAATCAATTCATAGATATCATTCACCAACATATCCCATTTGTAAGTTCCTTGAGCGTCCTTCTTGGCTTCTCTCTACTTTTCTTACCACTCAACCCCCCCTCATGGGCGCCTTTACCAGCTTTTTGCCTATGTTAAAACTGTTTTAAACTGTTTTTATGATTTTATCCTTGATAGAGCCATTCTCATGTACAATAATTACATATCTTGTGTTTTCTTGTATGATTTCATATCTTTCTCAACATTCTCATCTATGCTACCCCAATGTTATGCACTTGCCCTTCAATGCTCAACATTCATTACCATAAAACATTGTTGATCTTGTAACACAACAACAACAACTAGCCTTATCCCACTAGGTGGGGTCGGCTACATGAATTACACGACGCCATCGTGCTCTGTCAACAACTCAGTTCTTGGATATGTTGTTGATCAAGAGATCTTGTTCAATGACCTCGTTCCTCTCGATCTTCCTCTGCCTCTTTTTATGGGACTCCATATTGTCTGATCTACCCTCCTCACTAGGACCTCCAATGGCCTTCTCTGCACATATCTAAACCATTTTAAGTGATTTTGAATCATTTTTTTCTTGGATAGGTGCTACACTGACTCTTGCTCTGATATTTTCATTTCGAATCCTATCTTTTCTTGTATGACCACATATCCATCTCAACATCATCATTTCTGCTACCCCAACTTTATGCTATTGTTTTCCCTTTATTGCTCAACATTCACTACTGTACAATATAGCTAGTCTTGTAGCAGTTTGATAAAATTTTCCCTTAAGCTTCTCAAGTACCTTCTTATCACAAATAACTCTGGTAGCCTTTCTCCACTTTAACCAACCAGCTTGTATTCTATGAGAGACGTCTCTATCAATTTCCCCATCCTCATGCGTAATGGATCCTAGATATTTAAATTTTGATACTTGAAGAATGATTTGATCCCTCATCTTCACCTCCAAATCCCCATTGCCTTGCCTGCCCCCAAAATTATAATGTATATATTCTATTTTGTTTCTATTCAAGCGGAAACCTTTCAACTACAAAGTCCTTCTTCATAATTCTAATCTAGTGTTAATCTCTTTTTTTGATTCCGTCATGAGAACTATGTCATCCGCGAAGAGCATGGATTTAGAGATTCTTTCTTGAATAGATTTGGTTAGAACATCCATACTAATATTAAACAAGTACGGACTCAAAGAAGATCTCTGATGTAGGCCAATCTTAATGGGGAGTCTTTTGTCTTACCTCCAGGCGTTCTTACACTAGTAGTTACCCCTTCATACACATCTTGTATGGCTTTAATATAAGCAACCCGTACACCTTTCTTTTCCAAAACCTTCCACATTACTTCTCTTGGCACATGATCATAAGCCTTTTCTAGGTCAATAAAAATCATATGTAAATCCCTTCTTTTACTCCTATATCTTTCCATTAACCCTCTTAGTAAATAGATAGCTTTTGATGTGGATCCCCCTGGCATAAATCCAAATTGGTTTTCCGAAATAGAAGTCTTCAACCTCAACCTATATTTCATCACTTTTTCTCACAACTTCATTATATGACTCATAAGTTTTATCCCTCTGTAGCTTGCACAGTTTTGAATGTCTTCTTTATACTTGTAAATAGGAACTAAAATGCTTCTCCTCCAATCATCCGGCATATTCTTAGAGCGTAAAATTTTATTAAAAAAGCTTGGTTCGCCACACCTCACCCTCATCGCCCAAACATTTCCAAATTTCAATAGGAATATCATTAGGCCCAACGGTTTTACCATTGTCCATTTTCTTGAGAGTTGCCTTAACTTCTCCGATACAGATCTTGTGGTAAAAAGCCAAATTCCGATCATCTTCGTTAATTAGCAAGTCCTGTAAGTCCTGAGTCACATAATTGCTGCCTTCATTAAACAACTTGTAAAAGTAAGCCTCCTATCTGTCCTTAGTATCACCATCAGTGACTAGCACTTTATCATCTTCATCCTTTATAAACTTTACTTGGTCCAGATCTCTCTTTTTCCTCTCCTTTTGCTTCGCAATCTTGTAAATATTTCTTTCTTTAGCCTTTGTTCCTAACTCCTGATAAAACCCCTCATAAGCTTTAATATGTGCTTCGCTCACTGCTCTCTTCGTCTCTTTTTTAGCCAACTAATACTTTTCCTGGATTTCTACACTATTGCACAAATGTATGGTCTTAAAACAATCTCTTTTATGTCTGACTTTCTCTTGCACACTTTTATCCCACCACCAAGTCTCCTTATCTCTCTAATCAGGACCTTTGGATTCTCTCAAAATTGCTTTAGCTACCATACAAACCCTTGTAGCTATCTCTTCCCACATCATGTTTGCATTTCCCTGCAACTCCCAAATCCCTTCCTCTAAAAGGATCTTTTTGAATAACTCCCGCTTCTCACCCTTTAACTGCCACCACTTAATCTTGGGTTTTACCACTTGATGACACTTTTGCCTGGTACTTTTAAAACGTACATCAAGGATAAGTACTCTATGTTATATGTTATAGGACAATTTTTTTCTTCGAATAGTATGCTTTGAACCAACCCCTCCATATCTTCCTAAAACTTATCTTTAAGGTGTGCCTCTGCCCCAACCTGAGGTGTATAGGTATTAATGATATTGATAGTATCCTTTCCAACAACTACTTTTAAAGATATTATTCTGTCCTCAAACTTTTTAACCTCTATCTCATTTTTTTTTTCATGTTTCATCAACTATGATACCAACACCATTCCTTACACTCACCTTTCCTGTGTACCATAGTTTATACTCTCCAAGTTCCTTGGCAACTTCTCCAGTCCATTTGTTTTCTTGGAGGCATAAGATATTAATCCTTCTGACCCTCATAACTCCTACTACCTCCATAGATTTCTCATTCAGCGTCTCAATATTCCAAGTGCCAGATCTAATCTTGGTCTCACAAACTAACTTCTTTAGCTGTCTTTATCCAAGAGAGTGCGGTAGCCCTCGCTCATTTAATACTACATCCGGATGACGATGCAGCAACTCTAGCCCACTTCTCCCTGTACTCGAGTCATACAGTGCACTACTTCTGGGCAACAACCTAACGTTAGCATAATTACTTCGTTGACGCATGTTCATGAGATTCGACGGGTTTTTATGTTGGCTGTCGAGGGCCTAACACAACCCTCCTTCTTTATCCGGGCTTGGGACCGGCTATACAATATAGGCGGAGTTATTGTTGGCCTTGTAACATTTCGATAAAACTTCCCTTTAAGCTTCTTAGCTACTTTATGATCGCAGATGACTCTTGATGCCTTCTTCCATTTCATCAACCCAACTTATAATGCTTAACATCTCCATCACTTTCACCATCATTTTGTACTATCAATCTCACGTGCCTTAACTTTGGCACTTGTGGAATGGTTCTAACCTGCCTCTTGTAATAAAGAGATTTATGTTGTTTGCGCCATCATTTCACCGTCTAGAATGATTGCTGGCTGATCAGTTTGATCCATGTTCACTCTAATGTGGGAACTCTTTTATGTTGAACGAATTTGGTTTTCTTTGATGAATGACGTAATATTTCTGTTGTCCCTTTTTTCCAGTGGAAGTTTGTTTTTTTATCATCTGGTCGTCCTGAATACCTTCAAGATTCAAGTGTAGTTTCAACTCGGTTTCAGGTGTTTTAATTTTCTCTTTCCTGCGGCTTGCCTTTCCTTTTGATTGTGTTAGTCTAAGGATTTCCGTAGGGACATTGCTTCTTTTCTACGAGTTACTTACTGTATCTTTAATTTTTAGAGAAGGGATATCTATGGTGCTTGGGAGCAATATCTTGGACTGGAGCACACTGACCATGCCGCAAAAAGGTCCTTTGCAGCAAACCAGGTGTGTGATATGTTGCTCTTCAGAGTTCAGACTAAACCTATCTAATTAAGGGATGGGATTAAATTCTTGTCGATACGACTCTTACTGGTAAAGTAGGGTAGGATAGAACTATATATAGGTTAAGTGAGTAGCATCCATTGTCACAGAGATTAAATAAAATAATCAATTACGTGGATTCGTTATGTAGCTGGATGGGTTGAATTGAGATGGTCCTCGGTGTGGTCTTTCGCTGACTATTGCTCTAACCTAAATCTGTTTACAGCCTAAAAATTGATAGGACATGATACTTCAATTACATATCTTCTTGATCCTCGAAATGAAAAAGAAAAATGAAGAGATCATTATATCGTTACTTATGTTATTAATTTTATGTACAAATTTTAGATTCCTATGATATTATCTCTCAATCTTGCAGAATCGTCATACATTTGAGAAGCCAGTGAAAATCTCCAACTAGAAAACCCTCAGCCAACTCGTTCAAGCTAATATAATGAGCTCTCTGAAGGCAGTAAGAAAGTTAGGATGGAGAAGCTGTCAATGTTCGTACGAGTACTTCGGCGTATCCGTATCCATAATTCTTAAGCTTTTAGCCTTGAAGCATTTTGAACTAAAATCTCTCGAGCACACTTTTGTGGCGATCATGAAAATTGAGTTTTTTTAACTCGTGTAGCTTGGGACATGCGATTTTGGTGGAGTGATCACTGCTGTATAGTGGCTATAGGTATATTCATGTCATCCAAATAGTGTTTTCCCCGTCGAGTTTTTTTCATCTTTCCGGAGATAAGCATTGAGGATAGGGGTGACCGTATTGTTTTTGCAGGGGCCCCCCTCCTCGGGGGAAAAAAAATCTCGTCATCTTTTTCTTTAGCTATTAGACGCATTACGAGTTGTGTTAATATCCTTTTGCATAGTTCAATTTTGTATCTGTAGCAGCTGAATATTTTGCTTGGTTGTTTAGAACAAATAAGTTGACTGACCGATAATTGGGCTCATTGGTTTAACGAATTTTCGACCTGGATGTTAGAAATTTGCTTCTTATACAATTTGACTTGTAATGTGCTCTTCTGGTCCTTAATATTATTAAGTTAATTTTAATCCTAAATATAAGATATATTTTTTATATTTATTAATTTTTTCTAAACTATTCCTATAGATACTCTTTCAATCATAATCAAGTGAGGAAGGAAGGATATTAAGAAAAATAATTATAGTATTTTACAAAAAAAACATATCATATTTTTTATAATTAACTAATTTATCTAATTTTTTTAATCTAATGACCGAAGGAGTATAACCATAGATAAATAGGGCTCTGGGCACCTTAGGCAGGTTGCAAAACCGCAGAACTCTTTGCTTTATTTTCTTCGGCCAAACCTTTCAGATGTATAGTTTAAATCGTAACCTTATCTTGTTAGAGGTTATTTGATAAGTTGGTTCCATTCTATCAAATCCTCCTTAATCATGAGTTAATCTTCAATTTGTTTATATGTCAGTTGGCGTCATCGGTTAGCTACGGTGTTGGCTCGATTCACATGGGCATATTCTAGTTAATGTATCAATAAGCATACTATATAGGCTATAATTAGCCCCACGATTAGCTGTGGACATTCATGTTAGCCGGGATATGAACCGAGAGGGAGGAGGGAGAAACGGGCAAAAAATAAATGAAAATAAGGGTGATGTAGAAGAAATGTGTGTTTGTCTGGCGAAAAAAAAAAAAGAAGAAGCAGAAATATATGTAAAGTGAGACAACTCAAAAACTCAAATTTTATTCTAATTAATCAAATTTGACGAACATATAACTTGTAGTTCTATGTGTAGGGCTCTAACCTTCTAACTAAATTATTAAAATATAGATGATAATATTTTCTTCAATTATACTCTCTATATTTCAAAATATAAGCATCAAATAATTAAATTATACAGTTTAAAAAGTTGGTTAAAATTGATTAAAGATAATAAATACATAAAAAAAATACCACCTCTAATCCTAATTATAAAAACTAGTTGATTAATTTGAGGAGATTAATGAAATAAGTTAAGTTAATTATTTATAATAAATAGGTGTTATCTTTCCTAAAATATCCTTACTAATTAAATGTATTGGTTAGAACTATTATTATTAGAATGACTATCTTAGAAAAAAATATATAAATATGAGAGACAAAATGGATTGGGGTCTTATATTTAGGACCAAAATAAAATTCAAACAAGATCTTATATTAAGGACTGGAGGTAGTATAATTTATTTTTTCTAAAACACTCTTAGTTATAGAGAGGGTAAGTGAAAAAGAGAATGGGTAGAAAAAAGATATGAGAGAGACATATAATGAATTAGGAATAAAAATGAAAACTACAATAAAATGATAATTAGAATAAAGTAATCTAAATAATCTTATATAATTAAAATATAAATCGTAATTAAATAAAAGATAACTAAAATAAAGTAAATAATCTTAGACATAATCTTAGACATCGTTTCCTTTGTAGATGTGCATGTTGGGCCATCATTGAGTTAATTCGTGACTAATTTATATGTAATATATTTTGGTATGTACCTTCCTTTTTACCTGAATATTTATGTATGTAGCTAGACTCCGTGCATAGAGTATGACAAAACGATACGTTGATTTCGATGTTGGACAAATTTTTTAATGGATTAATCTTATAAGTCAAAGCGGCAAGAGAAACGCAGTCTTTAAAAATGTCTATTGCTTAGAGAACCGCTATATCTCGTTCTATTTAAATATATATTGATTTATTCCCACTACTCATTTATTTTACAAACCTTTTAGTTAATTCGTGCAATATTGGCTACTATTATATCATTCCATTTCTTGGTCACTTGCATTTCCTTACGATGAAATCCAAAACTACCAAGTTGAAACCATCATTAGCAAACAAAAGCGAACAGGAAAAAAAAAAAAAAAAAAAGGAAATTAAAATCCTATATGGAAGAGAAGCGGCCAAAATACGAATCAGCAGCCCATCACCTTGTTTGGCTTGACCAGAGGTTTGTCCGCCACAGTGCCATCGTTCCCAGCCAGTGCTCTATACTTATCCTTCCTCGTAAAGCTGGTACACTCATACGACAATGTCGCGGCAATCACTCTCTGTATATAGTTCGCAACTTCATGGCTTGATTTGCCTGAGCTACAAGTCAGCTCTTTTGGCAACTTGTTTAAGAACGTTACCTCATAAGCTGGGCTAGGGTTCATGAAGAAGTAAAATGGATCCATCCCTTTCCACCCTCTCGCCGTCGTTCCATGAAACATGCTCATCCGGTTCACCATGGCCACCGGCATGAGCTCGTCGGTCAGTTCAGCGAACAGAGCCGAGAACCTCAGAAGAAATGGCTCCCTACAAGTTGTCCCTTCGGGGCATATGGCCAAGTCGCCTTCCTCCAAGAGCTTCTTTATCATGGCCGCATCGGTGGCCCGGTCACGGCTCAGACGGACGGTCTTGATCGGGGAGATGATCTCAGAGAGGCGGGAGACGGAGTAGGTGACGGCGGGGATGGGGCGACCAAGGGCGGTGGAGAGAAAGATAGGGTCAAGTAGCGTTCTGTGAGAGCATATAAAGAGGACTCCGGATTGACCATGATGTTTCTTCACCGGCGGCGGCGGTGTGCCCTTGACCTTCACACGTACGCCAAGTGCCCAGAAGGCATAGTAGACCAAGTGCATCGGCAGGAGTGCTCCGGCGGCGATGCGGAGGACGGCCAAAGGGAAGCCGATGGGGATCCACAGGATTGTGAGCAAAGCCAAGAGTGGTGTGGGTTTCTGGACGAGACGACCGTCGTGGAAGATGATGGGTTTCGGAAGCTTGTCTCTTGCTACGGCTTTCACTTCCGGTCTCGGTGGCACGATGTATCCCTCCTACAGGTCGTCCGTGCATCGCCGTAAATCAAACAGCTTTTTTATATTAAATTAAATTATCATAAAAATAAGAAATTCTTAATTATCAAAAAGCAATGTGATTTGCCAAGTATTTATTCTTCAGAAACAGAATGGAAGTGATGAGTTATATGTAGTATTATATCTATATATAATTAACATGACTCACCATAAAAGAAAACTTGAACATATTTTTCAAGTATATCCCATTTTCCCCCAAAAAAAAACAAATTTAAATGTACAAGTACATAATTTATATATTTCATATTTGAATGAATTTAGTCGATTTACTATAAAGAACCAAATAATAAACCTTTATGTTGACCGTACCAAAGGTTTTTGCAGAATTTTGATAACTTTTTTTTTTCTCAAAAGAATATATCTTAACTTTATTACTAGATGCATGTGCTCACTAAGATCATGATGTTGTGTCCTTGTTTTTTCAAAAAAAAAAAAAATTTACATGAACTTATATGTTTTAATATTTGTAAAAAGAATTTAAAAATTAAAAGGTCGTAGAAAGTTATTCAATCTCTCAATTTTCCCTAATATTAATGGTATCTTTAATTTGTTTGTGTTCACTGTATACCCATAAAATTTTTTTTTACTTTCATTAGTGAGGGAACAACAGGAAAAAAAAAACCTGAAAATTACTAAATCTCTAATATATAAGGAATTCTTATAAAAATATATTGTTATTTTCAACTTGAGTCTAGTCAAAATCTAACGTTAAAATGTAAGAAACAAACTTAATTTGAGAATTATTAACTTTCAGTTTTTCTTCTCCTGCCTTTCTCCCTTCTTTATTTTCGCTTTTGATCTTTACTCTATTGATTTTTTTGAAGACGTGTGCGTGCGTGCGTGTGTGTGTGTTTTCATGTCTGCTGGTGTATATGCTACGTACCTTGCACAAAGCCATGAAAGGAGCATCGGTTGATCTATCACCAAGTCCAATTTCTGGCTGTTCATCGGCCAAAAGCTTTCTTTAACGCTCCAGCTTTCTTCTTCCCCACAAGTATCCCTGCTTTTGAAACCAAACCTGTGGCCCTTCGTTTATACGTCGCTATCTCCGTCCCCAACACCATGTCGGCCCCCAAGAATTCCTTCAGAAACGGCTCCACCATTATCCTCGGGTTCGCCGTCAGTACGCACCGTTTACCACATGAAGAGAACACGCGCCAGCTCTCCGGGTGGAGGTCACCGGCGTAGAACTTGGGCAGCACCGCACGCGCCACCGACTGGATGCTTGACACCTTCATTCCGGCCATGGAGGCGAAGATGAGGACTCAGCTTTCTTCTTCCCCACAAGTATCCTGCTTTTGAAACCAAACCTGGCCTTCCTTTATACGTCGCTATCTCCGTCCCCAACACCATGTCGGCCCCCAAGAATTCCTTCAGAAACGGCTCCACCATTATCCTCGGGTTCGCCGTCAGTACGGCACCGTTTACCACATGAAGAGAAACACGCGCCAGCTCTCCGGGTGGAGGTCACCGGCGTAGAACTTGGGCAGCACCGCACGCGCCACCGACTGGATGCTGGACACCTTCATTCCGGCCATGGAGGCGAAGATGAGGACTTGGATGCCGGCGGACTCAGACACAAAGTAGTAGAGAGGCCAGCATGGGAGCCAGCAAGACAGAGAAGAGAAGCCTCAACACGCCACCAACCTCAAACGCCACGAGCGCAAAATACGGAAAGGAGCTTCTTCTCGGAGTAATGTTCCGTCCATGTCCGCCACCACAGTGTGCTTCTCTCGTCCTATGGAAGCGCACTTGTCAACTGTGGGAAAACTCGTGCAGCGGCCATGGATATGGAAGAACTTGAAACTAAAACTATTACCAGTTAAAAACACTCACTACTGCTATATTATATATAATATATATAGAGAGAGAGAGAGAGAGAAAGGTCTTGAAGGAAGAGAGTGGGTTGTAATTGTTTTAAAAATATATGAGAGTGAACGATGACATAGATGGGGCACGGAGAGATTTCCAAAAGTGATTGGCAAGCACACGGAGAGATTTCCAAAAGTGATTGGCAAGCACATACGGTAGAAACGAGGCATGTCTATGCTCTTTGTTCTTCGTTGAGAAGGGTGTATATTAAGATACGCCACAGCTTAGGGTTCTCCCGACTTCGTCTTTGTCTTCGCCCTATTCCTTCT